CGCTATCCCGTTAAAATTCGGATCCTGATTGATGTAGCGTGTCAAGCGTCTCATAGCGCTAGTTTGCGCATTTATGTCGATCACGTCGACGCCTGCGTTTATGGTTACATCGCATAGAAGTCACACGTTCAATTGCTGCGAGTGTTCAGTTCGTTAAGTTATTTTACGGTCGATATCTTTATTATCTTTTCTCGTTAATTTTCTTTCTCTAATTCATTGTTTTTCGCGTTAGTTGGCGCGGATGTCGCTGGCGAACGACTCACGCATGTTTTGCCCGCCTTTTCCGCTCATCACGAGACATTCTGTAATGCATTAGGCATAAGAAAAAAAAAGAATGAAACGGGCATGTCATCGCGAGTATTCAAACACACGCTGGACGTTCCTATTCCTTCTGGATGCTTTTATTTCGTTTCGGCAAACCACGTGACACCACCGGGGCTGTGCTGCAGCGGCAGACCGGGAATCCAAGATACTCGGAGCGCGTTCCGTCCGCCCCGATGCGCGACGACCTATTGATTGTCAACGGGCTGCTTGCTGCTCACAGCGGCGTGACACACGCAGGCACTGCGGCGAAGCGAAGCCTACGCTTCGCGGACCGTCCATGCTCGTCTGCAGGGACCGACGTGTGTGGACGAACAACAGCGTTCGTTTAGGATCGCCCCGCGCAGAAGACTCGAGTCGCCCTGAATACGCGCATAAATAAATGTACTGATAGCCGAAACGTAATTAGCGTACTTGCTCGCGTTCGTCAATGTAGGGTGTGTCAGCCATCACCAGGTATACTTTCTTTAATATAGCGCTCTACCTAAAAAGAAGCTTAAAAAGAGACAGCGCAGTTATCTTAGCATAGATGAAATTATCCGGGGTTGATGGACAAACGTAATAACTGTTATCTTCAATATTTTACCCTAGTTACTATTTTAAAGGTTTGTTAAGCATCATTTGATAATTACCCAGATAGTTGGTTTGGCAGTTGTCTTAGCGTGGATTATATTCCGGCGCTTCAGATCAACCCTACGAACTTTTCCGTCTAATATTTTTGTTAGTTAGTAATTTAAAGTTAATGAAGTAGTGTTTGTTTATTACTCAGCTTGGTGGGTCAAGAACGTAGATCCTGGCGTGTTGTGCACGGCTCAGAACAATACTGGGCCAATCTGATACGTGTAGCGCATATCTTCGTTCTTGTTGTAGGCGCAATTAACTGAAACGTCCTGTACATATTTTGTTTTTTTTTTCACATAAAGCCGTAATAAAGCGTAAAGGTCTTCTTTCACTTGTTTACAAGCATAATAAGCGTAAGCGGCAAAACGTTTACTTTAAAGGCTTTTCCTTAACTTCGCTAGAAGATTTCTTAGGCCCGTTTATACATGGCCAAGAACGACCTTCGCCTGTTCGATGTTTTCGTTGTAAAACGCAAGTGGGTGGCTTTCCCTCACATAAGCTATTATTGCGGTGAAGCACGCTTGTCAGTTCAAGTAGAGCGATATTGTCGAGATTATGAAAACTCCGCATACTATCCTCGCTGTGCACCTTTCGATGCTGGCAATATTGGAACAATGGTGCTGTTGTGCGCGCTAGTCTTGTGTAACAAAGCGCGAAATTAAACGGAGTCGAAATCCCCCACAGCCACACAACCTGCGCACTTTCGTCAAGTGGGCTTCACTGCAGTGGTGCCTCTGGGAATTCACAAAATCTTTCACGCGTTAATATCTGAACACACTGCGGATACCTTATTTTTCGCTAGTTTTTGGGTGCGTAGCGACGTTATTTAATTTCATTCAAATTGTATCCGTAATTATGTCAGACAGCGAATCGTATTTCGCACCGGACACCGTTCGCGACCTGAATTCGACGAAGGAATCTGATTTCTTCAAGCGCGAGCTTCAAAGGCAGTTTAGGAAGCTTCATTAACGCTGAACTATTGTGTAAGTTAAGGTTTAGACATTTGTTTTCAATGAACCGCCACGGTGGTCTAGTGGTTAAGGTACTCGGCTGCTGACCCGCAGGTCGCGGGATCAAATCCCGGCTGTGGCGGCTGCATTTCCGATGGGGGCGGAAATGTTGTAGGCCCGTGTACTCAGATTCGGGCGCACGTTAAAGAACCCCAGGTGGTCTGAATTTCCAGAGCCCTCCACTACGGCGTCTCTCATAATCATATGGCGGTTTTGGGACGTTAAACCCCACAAATCAATCAATCAAATCAACATTTGTTTTCAATACACGATGCAATGTATTCGGAGCTACCGCTAAACCTGCCCAAGATTTCTAGTGTTCATACTGGAATACTAATGAATATACGCAGAGAAACTTTGCTGTCGCATCTTCGGCTGCCTGCGCCTAGATCCTTTTGAGACTCACACCATACATAGGAAGGAAGCATTCGTTGTATTTTGTTACAGTTGCATGCATGCAAAGAAAATAATGCGTGCACATTCTGATAACACCCGGCCATAGCGTGCTTTAGGCAATCTTTGCGGAGCACTCACTCCTTGCGGTCGTTGCATGCGGACACACGAGCGGAACGAAATCGCATTTTGCCCCGGGGCTTCGTCTGCACGCTCTTCATCCCAGGCGGCAAGAGCGGATGGAGGCGGCCGCATTTTCGTTAAGGAGACTACGTACCGCTAATTCCGTGCAGTGTTTCGGTACCTATACAGACATAGTCGTCCTCACCTATATAACAAAGCGTGCGTGCTTAGAGTTCGGCCGTAGTGCGTGCATCTGAGCTCGTCTGGTCTGACGCCGACTGCGGAAAACGTCGGTGACTGCTTGCGTTTGGGTCACGTGGAAGGACCGAGTGGCGCTTCGGGCAAATATAATGCCCGCTGCTCGTCAGCTCACATTTCGCTTTGCTCGACGACAAAGAGAATACATGAAAAATTCCCGAAAATTTTTTTCTGGTGTTGCGTTCTCATAGTTGACAATACCTTTTCGAATTTTGCCCCCCCCCCCCCCCCCCCCCAGAAGTTATCCAGACAAGCTGAAGATGCAGAAGATCTGAAGGGATTTGTTCACGCGTCTGTACCAGTTCGTTGATATTAAAAGCGAAGGATATTTATCTCTGACAGCTCTTGTCATGCCTCTCGTATTTCTGTAGCCGCGGGAATATAAAATAGCGAGTATGTCGCGATTTAATACTGCTGTATTGGTTTGTTTATAATTTATTGAGGTGTTAGAACGCAAGCAGTCCTTACTGCCGAATCGACTCGACCACTGTGTAACATGAGTCTCTACCCAGAATCGAATTCCGGTGTGCATTTGTGCCTACGTTAGCACTGATGGTGCTGCACGGGCATGGCGAGGAAGGAGTGTGGACTTGGTCTCTCCTGCATTACAGCTGATTTGATTATGGCTGCTCGAGACCTGGGTCATGACCCCCATCTCGGGAGATACGCGTCGTCTCGTATACCGCCTTTTCTCCCGTATCTTCTTCTCGTGCATTTTGGTGCAGAAAGTCCTTCGAAAGAAGTCTGCCCTCATCAAAACGTAACTCTTCAAAGCCAGCAAAACTGTGACGAATCGATAAACAAAAATAAAATTATTAGTTGAACGTGCCAACACGCCATATTGGTGGACTATGGAATATCCTATGTAACCTTGGGCTGCTTAACGTGCACTTAAGTATGAATATAGTGTTTTGTCTGGTTTTTTTTTTTTTCATTCCTCGTCACGGTGACGTTGCTGCCACGTGACATTTTTACTCTGGAGAGCAGCGCCAAAGCCGCTGGTCATGATGCCGGGCGTGCTCACAAATGGCACGATTGTCTGTCCACGTAGATCTGGGTAGTGTAATAGACATTCTAGAAGCATTCGACCTATATCACAGTATGTGCTTAGCGTGCAGAAGCACACTGCGTGACTTCCTTTTGCAAGAATACATCAAGCTAACGTCAGCTTGCGTAGCAGCTTCCTTCGTTCGTTCTTCTTCAATCATTCGCCTTAAACAGGTGTTTGGCGCTCTTTTGCCTGAGTTGCCCTTGACTAAAATTTACCATCATCATCATCATCATCATCATCATCATTCGCCTTAAATGCAAGTTGCCGTCACTAACTAAAGGTACAGAGCTAAAGAGCCCACAATGACATGACTACGCCAACATTTCTCGATTTGTCACATCGAAAATATGGAGGAACTTCTCTATAGCTAGGTGGGTGTTTTGTAACTGAGCGCTTGCTTACTACTTGTTACCAGCTTTGAGCGGTAACCTCAATTGAGTGATTCGCAATGACGAATTTGGCTTCTCCTGTTTTTTTCTTTGCCTGCATAAGTGATTTCACCGCAAAAAAAAAATGAATCAAATCTGCACATTTTGTGAGCAAGTATAGCGTCATGATGAGCGCCATATATCATCGTCATTTTACTGGCCACCGCGCCCCGCCTCTCGCGCCGCCCGTGCTGGAGCTCGAGGTCCGAGCCTGGAATAACGAGCTTACGTTTCTTGACGCCGGCTGGCGCGGTCGCTCCGCTTTGACTGTGTTCGAATAAAAGGGGGCGAGATCGACATGGCCACGTCGGCCGCCTTCACGTCTGTCACGTCGCTCGCCAAACAAGCCCCGAATTTAATCGAAATCGACGGTTTTCGGGCTGGATGCCTGCATCATTCAGCTGCACCCGAGCAGAAGCAGAGTGGTACGTCATCAGTGAAAGGTGCAGCCGGATTTGTCGACAGTGTAGTGGCATAGCGCAACGATCATGAATACGATGGTGTGAGCGAACTGTAGTCAGCGAGAGGGATCGAAAACTCCCCGAGTTTTCGCAAGCCAACTGGACAACAAACAATTGAACTAACGGAGCAGTCATCTAGGTTAATGGAACAGTTAATATAAAAGTAGCAAAGTTGCTTAATCAAAACGGTCATTGAATGCTGAAAACTAAATGAATGTTCTTTCCGTGCCTTCCTGTTTGTTATTTTATTCTTGTCGTTTTTAAAACTCGCGCCACTCTTTTCCTGTAAATGCGACTCACTTCTCTCTCTCTCTCTTTTCCTTGTTATATACAGAACAGCCTGCGGAAATGGGACCTGCGGAAGTGGGCCGTGTTCCTGGTCCTGCTGCTGATGCTCGTTTCGCTGCACATGTATGGCGTCCAACAGTACAGCCTTGCCACCAGGGCGGTCTGGTACAAGAGGTCGGTGCCATGCAGAGACGACCCTTTTGTCTCCTGCGGACAGCATGCATTCTCAGTGTTGTTGTGGCACGTCTCCCCAAGTCTCCTCCGCGGTGCACGAACTACCTCTTCGCTCTCATCTGGCCTTTAAACTGAACAATCTCGAAACGTTGTAAACGTGCGCGGAAGGTGAACAACTGTTTGCTTTGCGGCAACAAGGCAACAAAATTTTGACCGCCAGTATCGCTGACCGTATTTACTCGCGTAATGAACGCACTTTTTTTTCTCTCTCGAAAAATCGGATCAAAGTTGTGGGGTGCGTGTACTACGCGGGATAGATTTTATGAAAAACATTTTTAGGGAGGAGCAAAAAATGCGGCAATACACAAAAAGTTAGGTTGCTTAGCTTTGCGCAATTGACATACGTACGCGTACACTGTTTGGAAAAAGCTTCTTTGTTGCACTGCACTCATCTTCGGTGGTTGATGGCGCTGTCTTCTGCAAGCTGTCCCCGGGCCGCCCGCGCACGCCATAAAGTGTTTTGCGGCTATTTTTTTCTCGCAATCGTTTAACCGCTATATCTGCTGTGATCTCGAGGGGCGCCCAAAAGCGTACGCTATACGATGCCACGACCCACTTTGCCAACTTCGCGGCAACCTCGCACGACGACCGTGACGACGCCGTTAACATTGTAGCAAGTAACCAACATTGCAGCAAGCTACCCCCGAAGCATCAAAACAAACCGTCGATAACAAGATTAACGACAAAATACGAAAGGAATTTGAAAGAAATTTATGTAGCGCGAGGCGAAAAAACAAACACAGGAAAGCTTGTTTCACCAACAAGCCCACATCGCCACTCTTGTCGACGAAATACGGCCGCCGCCTCGCTTCTACATGAGAAGTTCCTCTACGCGCGGATAACAAGCGAAGCGAGAATCGCGGCTGCTACCAAGTTGCGGAAATCCTCACGATCTTTTCTAGATGACAAGCTTTTTTTTTTTCTGGTTTTCCAGCAACCTGCGACGCAATAGCGACGAATGACCCTTCGCAACAGCAAATTTTGTTGTCGCTCAAAAAATCGCGTGCGCATGGTTGGGCTTTTCCGTATTCGCAGGAAGCGATCGCCGGTTGGCGTGACCTTCGCTCGCTGCGCGCTTATCAGCGGCGATGTCTACACTCCCACCGTTCGTGAACCCCGCTGTGGTGTGTAAGTGATTCTCAAAAGAGAGAAAAGAAGATAAAAGTGAGCCCCGTAACTGTATACACATCATAACGGAACACCTCAACAGTGGCTCACGTGGGATGGGGATCAGGAGGGATTAAAAGGGATAGGCACAGAGATGAGGACACCCGCACACAGAAGTAAAGAGAAGATAGAGAAAGATGGACACGGTCGAAGGAGTTCGAGGACGGGGCACCACTCAGCGAGAGCGTCGCGGCGTCAGGAGATGGCGGAGGGCGAGCGGGGCGAGCGGGTCGGCCAGAGCTGCGCTGTGGTAGGAGATTGCGGGGGCACAACCCGTCGGCACGATTCCAGCGAGCGAGTCGCACAGATAAGATGGGGGACGTTAGGACGCTCCCTGGATTTCGTGCCGACCGGTTGTGCGCCCGCGCGCTCGCGACCTTCGGCGTCATCGTAGCTCTGGCCGACTGGGCTGGCCCTACGTCACCTCCTGTCGCCGGCTGTCCTCGGTGACAGCGCAGCTCTGACCTACTGGACCTGCTCTACGCCATCTACAGACGCCGACAACATCTCTCGCAAGTGTACCCCGTCCTCGGACTCCAGTGACCGTTCTTCCATCTTTCCTGTCTCTCCTATCCCCTCAGTTTGTTGTTGCTTCTTCTTCCTCTTTCCTATACCTTTACTTCTACCCTTTTATCCCTCCTTACCCCCATCCCTTTGTGAGCTCTGTGGCGGTGTCGCTCACTGAAGCAGACAATAACGGGGCTCACTTTTCTCTTCCTTTCTCTCTTAAGAACCACTCCGGGGGACGTGCCGCGCACATATAGAAAGCAAAACAATACGGCACGTGGCAACGGGGGAAGGGAGTGAGCCGAGGTTGCCAGGGGGGGTCGTCAAAATAATAAAAAAATGGAAAAGATCCAAGGGGTGAGGAGGCGCCAGGTGTCAGTTAGCGGGAATGCTGCGAATGAATGTAGGGGGTGCGTTTATTACGCGGGGGAAAAATCTAAATTTTGATGACTGAAGTTGGGGGTGCGTTTATTATGGGAGTGCGTTCATTACGCGAGTAAATTTTATATACAGGCATTAGGCAACGTTTGTTAATCAACTTCCTCAAAAGCAGACCGTATCGACTGAAATACTTCGAGCCTAATTCATTTATGAAGTACTCAATCTGAAAAACCAAAGGTTCGGGTTCCAGTAATGGGCGGAGCTGGTTTTGTTACTTGTATCGAAAACAAAATCTTTGGGAGAGAAGATCATCACCTGTGGTTGATGGCTGCATAATTCGTGTTCTGGGCTCTGTGTTGCATGCTGTGTAAATGGGACAATGCATGGCAAAGACTTCACGTGCAAGACTACCTTTGGGAATGAAGCGAAAGTGCGATAGTCTCGCGCGATATACGCATTGAAAAAAAAAGGAGGGGTGAAACTTCTGAAACGAGGCGTATAAGCCATCTACACCGAATGAAAAGACTGTGTTTGCCTAAACAGTATTCTTGTTCAGAACTGCTCAATAAATACGAATTCTTTTCGACACTGCCTATGTTGTGCAAGCGGTACCCAATCCGCTCGTTTGTGCCTAAATAGGATCATTGTAATAGATAGGGAGCACGTGCTTGGATGTCAACATTTTTCTTCCTGACTCGATCTATTGTGTACGCAGCATAAGCCTTCTCCTTTAAACTGTGTGGTGGTGACCTCCGTAAACTGACCCAGGACAAACAGCGTTCAAACGATATCTGCCATTGGCGCCAGTTTGCAAAAACACATACCTATCATGTCAATGTACTGAAATAATATGAGCATCCTATTCTAGTTAATATGATGGTTTACCCTTGTTGCTACAGCTTATTGCTAGAAACCACCATAAATAAAATGCATTGAGTGCCGCGTTCCTAAGTTGATGTTTCATATTTCTGTTAGTTTTTTACAACCTGATTTTAGCAGTTCCAAATATAATTCTTAGCCTGATCAGAATAGCAAACACAGTGTTTGTTTTCTATGCACATTTTTGGGTAAAATAACAAACAGGCATCCAGCTTATTCAAAGCATCCGTTAGAACTGGGTCTGTTACAGCGCTTACAGCAATATCGGGAATGGTCGAAGGCTTGAAGGGCTTTGCTGCGGCACTTTCCAGAATGTGCGCTGTTTCTCTGCTGCCTCGCAGATTCCTGACCAACCGCACGCGCTTTTCGAACGACTGCCGCGGTTGCTGCCGTCCCGCATTGAATGTGTTCCTGCTGAAGACTCACAAGTGTGCCGGTTCCACGGTGCAGAACGTGCTGATGCGCTTCGGGGACAGGCGCAACCTCTCGTTCGCCCTGCCTCGAGAAGGAAACTACTTCGGCCACCCAAAGCCCTTCTCTCTGTGAGTGCTGCTTCAGCAGAAGCACCGCCTCTGTATAGGACTTCGTTATTATATACGCAGTGCTGTTTTGAAACCTAGCGGCAGGTTTCTAATCCTTTTGACAGGTGCGGCTTATCTCCATGTTTCATTTTCCCCCCTACTGATTGAAAATGCTACTGATTGGAAATTGGCCAAGTGTAAAGAGTGGGCCTCAATAGTGCCCATTGGTGTGATCATTTATGTGTGCCTGCCTGTATTTACCTGGTGTCGTTCTGCCGGGGGAAAACAACGGGAGTTGAAGGTAAGTATGTCGAGATGCAGAGGAGTCTTAAAGTGATTTTCTCAAAGTATGTGTGTGTGATGGTCTCTTGCATGCAGACATCCCAAATGTTATGAAGAAAAAAAGGCTCTGGTTTGCATGAGTGTGTTGTAGCACAGAGTCAAAAGAAACTATGGTACCGACTTAGGCAGAAAACGTTGACAGTAACTGCTAAATACTAAAAGAGTTAGGCTGCTAGAACTTCAAAAGCTTTTTTTCTTACTCATTTTCTTAATCCTTATGCGGACATTTTCCTAACGTGTGCATCATTAACCTTGAATTTGGAGATTACGGTGTTGCTGAAGGCTACAGATGAAAAGCCATTGCCTTTTCGTCACGACCACGCAAGAAAATAAACTGACAACACTGGCTCGTCTGTATTGCAGTGATTTTTTGGGTGCCTATCTGCAGAGGATACCTTCCTGTGATTAGTCTCATCTCTTTTTATTACTTTTCCTTCACTATCCTAGCTGCCTTTACTACTGCCTACTTATGCACAAGCCACATAAGCATACAGCGATAAATAACCTGCACATGAGATGGAACGGCGCTCCTTCATGTGAAGTTATCAAAGTGTGTCGTCCAGTTTTAGCAGGCCATAAAAAACACAATAAGCTCATTGCTGTGCTCTAGAGTTTTCGGTATTGTCGGCGCAAGGCTGCGCAGATGTTCAAAGAATTAAAGGGGATCACAATTTCAGTGCCACCCACTTTGAAAAACAAGCCTTCGCGGAACATCTTCCTCAATTCACATGACACTTCTCCCCACAGTGGAAGTGTCTACTGAATTCCATGGTCACGACTTTTGGTTATTCACTTAATCTCAGTCGCAGTTTAGCACACAGTTGTTCTGGCCTCCCGTTAGGTGCCTTTGCCTGGCAATATCAATCATGGTTCACAATTTGGTCGCAGGTCCATGATCCCAGCAGACATGATCCCTCCATGGGGGTTCAACATCTTCTGCCACCACGTGCGCTTTGGCAGCGACGACCTGCGGCGCCTGATGCCCCCAGACACAGTGTTCATCACCATACTGCGTGACCCAGCGCGCCTGTTTGAGTCTCTTTACCTGTACTACCATCTGGAGAACCACACGGGCGTCTCCTTGGAGGCCTTCCTGAAGAGCGACACCAAGCAGCGTTGGCTCGACACGCACCGCTACGCAGCCCGCTTCGGCCGCAACCAGATGCTCTTCGACCTCGGCATGGACACCTCAGGTCACACCAACGACTCTGAGGTGGATGCCTTCATCCAGCACATCGAGGACAGCTTCCGCCTGGTCCTCATTGCAGAACTCTTCGACGAGTCTCTCATTCTGCTCCGAGACCTGTTGTGCTGGGACACCCAGGTACGAGCATTCATTCGTTAGTGCAGGTTGTCAAGTACGCTGTATGATTCATTGGTTGTGTAGCTATAACCACTACAGTTCATCCATGCATTCGTAGACGTAAATTGCCTATCCAAACATTCATTACCCAAAAATTGTTCTAGGTGTTAATCATTTTATAGTAGAGGGATTGCTGAAGCATAAAAAATGTGGAACACATTAAAACTGACATTAAAACTGTTTGAATCGCTAGGTTAGGGTGTGTGTGTGTGTGTATTTTTTTTAGTATGAAGGATTAATTCTTTTAATATGAGAGCTTTAAAGAGGACTTTTTGGTAGCCGTAGAGTGAAGTGCTTCAGCTTCTCACAGTTGCCGAAATTCTCCCTCGTTTCTGTCTTCGACTCGGACATTAATCAAAGTTCTGGCACCGTTTTCTTCTATCCCGCTGCTATCTTGATTGCAAGCCCGGTATTGTACGCTCTATTTTTCTGTTCACCTCTCCCAGGACGTTGTGTACTTCGAGCACAACCAACGCATGCAAAAGGCGGCTAGCCGGCAGTGGCGGCATTAATGACGCTGACAAGGGAAACAGCGCTCTCCGCCACCAGATGGAGCGATACAACATGGGCGATGGTCGCCTGTACCGCCACTTCCGCCAGAAGATGGAGCGCCTGATCGATGAGTACGGCCGCAAGCGCATGCGTCAGGAGGTGGATGGCCTGAAGTTGTGGAAGAGCCTGCTCTATGAACACTGCGTCGAGAAGCTCGATTCCGGCCGTACCGTCGCGTACGAGACGCGTGAGTACAGCGACGACGTCTACAGCATCGTTCTGCGCTCGGGGGTCAACAACCGACTCTGCCTGGACATGGCGCGCGCCTGAGCTGCCCTACACCGAGAGGCTCAGGCGAAAGCAGAGGCTGCCTGGCACGCAGCAGCCACTGGTGGACGCTGCCATGGTCGTCTGGTGACGGGGCACCTGACGAGCCGGCAGTCGCCAGCACACGGGGTCATCAGCTCAGAAGGGTAGTAAATGCCAGACAGAGAGCACGTCGGCGCGTGGAAAAGGGCTAATTAGATTGCCATCAGAGCTTCCGGTGAGCGTCTCTCCGCTTTAACCACAGCCACCTATGCTGTCAGGAAATGGGCTTCCAGTCTCCTCACCAGAATATGGTTCCAGCACGGGTCACCGTATTAGTCTCGATGCGAAGATGACCGGCCCGGCGGCCAGCCACTCTCGGGCCTTACACGGCCCTGTTACTCGCCGGGAAGAGAAGTCGCAAATGGTCATGAGGCGTTCGGCGAGCCTGCTGGCCTGGCCTGAAGGTGGCCATGCATGACTGTACGGATTTTTCGGGACATAACTGATGGCCTCGTCTTCGGCGCTATGTGTAGTAGTCCACGCTTCCATGGCCAATTACTCGTCAGAGAAAGCAGTTGTGAGAGATGGAAAAAAGAAAAAGCTCAATGTGTGGCACTGATTGATTCTGGAGTCTCACTTTTGAAGGGTGGTTGTATCGCCTGTCCTCCAAGTCAACGGCTTTAAGCAGAAAAAGATCAAATATTTACATCTGTGCAGCATTCCATGAAACAGGGGCACTGCGAGTCTTCCGAGTGCTTCGAAATGAAGTCCAACAAGTTCTTTTTGAGCCTGAAGGTGTCTTCTGCTCTGCATTTCGTGTATGTGCTGTGCCTGTGATAATCAAGGGCTTGTGATATGCCCTCCTGCCAGCAGTTTGCTTTTTATTTGGCTCACTGTGGGAAATGTTGACGTTACCGAAAAAATGACATAGAAAACATTATCTGCTCATTGAGGACATCGCACGTGTGTGTGTAGGATATGTCTGTATAGTTGAAATTTATAAGGACTACATGCATTGTATTTAGGAAATGTGTATTAGCTTGTGTATATGTGAGTGTGTGTGTATAGACGTGAAATTCAGTGATGTGGTGCTTAGACGTGGCGCAGCATTTTGATGCCACTTAAATTGTGCTGCATTGTATATCGTCAGTCACTCAGTCAGTTCTAGCATATCTATGTTGTGAATGTGATCTCTGCTGCATGTGCAGGTTTAAATGTGAACATTGGAAGATTAACTAGTTGTTTTATTCCAATGGGCTGCTGAGATGCCAGGCTGTGTATGACAGTGATCTAGGCTGTGTGATTGTCTTTTGAGAGAGGACATCATGCAGACAGTCTGGACCAAGGTACTGTTCAATGTTGATATCTCACTTTGTGTCAGCCCGTGTTGTGAGAAATTTCTTGTCACATTATGTCAACTAAAATTGATAAGGAAGTGGCCGGTGATAGACTTTAATGTAATGTCGAACTGGAGTATAGAGCTCTTGTGAACAAACCTGCGGTAAAGCGTGCATTCATAATATGAAACATGTTTTCATTCCCGTCAGTTTCCTAACAAAGATCTTCATTGGTTATGCTCGGTTCAAAGCTTATATTTTTTTTTTCTCACGGGAAGCATATTACTTAGATATTCTGTGTTTCACATTGTCTGTTCGTGATAACTCAGAAATTCGAAACAAGGGAAAGAAGTCGCACGGTGCTTTCAAGTCACTTGCATGACACAAGTTTCAGATTACGTATGCACTTAAAAGGGCACTGAAAAGGAAAGCAAGTTTTCTCTTATAACACTCCTTGAAGATGGTTCTCTCATAGTTATATACCTGGTTAATACAACACAAATTACTTTTTTTCTCTCTCATTACCTGCATCTCGTAATTTGAAGTCAATTCTGCTTGAAACAATGCTAGCGGCATTCTCTTGTTGCAAGAACGTGCATTTCTAGAACTTGAAGTTGATTTATCTCTTCTATACATTTTGCTCTTGGTTTACATAATGCCTTTACGTTGGCAAATTCCATTGTTGTTTTGTACTGCTCCATACTTCTAAATGCGATTTTCAATGGCAATGCACTTTTGTGCCATGGGAATCGCAGTTTGAAAGCTACCTTTACGTCACAGGTGTGTGCACTTCCAAGTTTGTACGCCCTTGTAGAACGACCAGCTACTGATCCTTGAAATCATTCCTATGACATTCTGCATAACCAGCCTTTTTCTAGACGAGTTTCTTTGAGTGGCACTACAGGGACCTTCCAATGCCGTTGTAAATGAGGTCACAAAATGCTGTAATGAAATGCTGGGTTAGTAAATATAACAAATTTAAGTATAATTATTTCAGATACAGTCTGGTTGATGTATCAATAACTATTGCACTTAGTATTCTTGTACGTGTGTAAACGAACAAAATATCAAGTTTATTGTAACAGCACCATCATTCTGCTCATGTCTTGTCGATTCTGTGCGGTCACTTGTAAAAATAAGCGTGTCTCCGTAAAACTTGCGTATGTTGTGGGATAGCATTGCACAGTGCGAAGAAAAATGGAAGCAGTGTCTTCGTAGCATGTGATTCGTTTTTTGTATACTGGTGTCACTTGTCGCAGCAGTATTCTCTGGTGACTGCACGCAGTAGTCACAAAATTATTTCAGCAGTTTGTTGAAGACTGTAGTTGAAGTGTGTGGTCTTTCAAACATAGTCGAAAAGCCGGTGTTAGGTAGCTGCATACTCTAATGCTGTAAGAAGTGAACAGCGAGGACACAACGTTTAAAGAGCTACAGGTTCTGATGAACCATTCTCTTTCGAGCCAGTATACTCACATTTCTTCACAATGCGAAGTACGCGGCACATTTGCAGAGGACTTCCACTAGTGTAAATTAATAGACACCTCATATTTAGATTTCTTTGTTAGATCACAATACTCGTTAGCACTGCTTGCATTTCTCTCCCTCCCTTTCACTGCCAGTTTTGCCCTAGTAGTATATGTGGGTTGTAAATGTGAGCCTACTGTAGCATAATTTATTTCATGACGTGTACTATTCGTATTTCTCAAGCATGACAGTGGAATTCGTATGAGCTGGCATCTTCAGCTTGAATGTCGTGTCTTGTTAGTTGGTCGTTTCGAACATTGCGACGTGTCTTACAACATCGCTAATGTGCCGCTGTGTCCTGTCACATTTTTACAGTATATGGTAACCTATTTCATGAACGATTTCTGCACGGTGTGCGACAAGGAAAGTGTACGTTTTCTGACAGTGCAATGGCTTTGCGTGCACGTTTCTGTGTTCACAGCTTGTTCTCCCGCTTCAGTTACGTGAATTTGAGTAACATCAGTTCGAGTTTTTTTTTTATTACTGTTAAGAAAGTATTTGTCGACGTAACTGATTGTCCCCTTGACCTTCGCCTTGCTTACCTCGGCAGTACCCTTAATAATTTATTATGCCCCCAAAGCCACTTCTATCTCGCTGAGGACAACTCAGTCACTGAAGTAAGTCAACTAAGAACAATTCGGTCTGTCAGTGGACTCAGTGTCATCACAAGATTCTCACGAGATGCACTGCAGCACAAAAAACAAAAGAAAGAAAGCGACTGTGAGAAAACTAAGAAAGGGTTAATATGCCGTACTAACAATTTTATGGACTTCATGCATTATTTTTTTACATTTATTAGCCTTCCTGAGTTTTCCTTGCGCTATTAGCCTGTATGATGTGAAACGCACTGAACGTGAAATATCACTTTTGGCTCAAGCTCATAAGACTGTCTTTGGTCTAAAGAATCATAGCAGAGACAGCTGCACACTGGTACACTCGTAATTGTGCTTGCCGAAATCGACTGTTTATGGGGTCGCGAATTCAAACGACTACAAGAAATTAGCTTTTCCAAGCTCACATTCCCGCATATGGTACAAGATGCTGATAAACTGTAGCTTCGTTTTTAGATGCGAAGAATGTTATGCTGAGGACTGTGTCTGTCACTCCCTTTCTCCTGCACGTCCACCCCCCACTGCGCATGCGCATACCCTTCCCTCTCTCTGTCACGCTCCCTTTCCCTTCCCTCCTGTGGCGTTGACAGCACCTGCGGCTTGTCTCCCCCTTTGTGTCTTCTCTACGCTCCCCCCTGTCTCTCTCTCCCTTCAGAGTCGGTGGCGAAGGCAACGAGATGCTTCCTCAGTACACACCATCACTCATAGCCATTGATCATCTGTCTTGCGGCATTCCACATTTCTATGAGACAGAGCATATGCTTTGGTTAGCACGGTACCATGTTCGATGTCTCTGGTGTGTGCGTTGAGCAACCAGCTGCTTAGCAGTGCTAAAGTGATGGTCAATGGTAGGGTTGGTCACCGGCAGAGTTCATGGTAGCGGTCACTGCCATCAAGAGATGGTTACTGGCAGCATTGGTCAGGTAGAGGTTCTGAATGTTAGTGCACCTGCTTAAGGCGACGTAGCGAGCTTCTGTTGGGGACATTCACCCTCTCCCGGCTGCTTCGCATCCACACATGTTTGCTTTAGTGGGAGATGGCATCATTTTTAACACGTTTGTGGGCACCCGGGGATGCTCCCTCGGGATACTGGATGAGCCCCTCTCAGATCTCATTGAAAACAAGCTCACTTAGTCGCATTTCTACCTTTTATAGAAATTTTAACGTGCCGGACACGCAGAATGCATGCATATAGCGTTGGAGGGAGCTGCACGATGAAGTCTCTATATAGTGCGCAACATGTTACAGCAAGGTCTAGGTGCACAGTGGGAAGTCATAAAGCGCATGCTTATTTACAGACACGAAATGTTCCGGCTCGACAAGAAACGCGAAGCTAAAGCTTTTTTTTTTACACGGAGCCCTCCGTTTACCGAAGTTGTGTACGAATTTTCGCTCCGCATGTTACTTTTATTTTAAACTTGTTTATTTTTCTTATTTCTTTGGAAAAAGCTACTGTAACCTTGAGAATACCATGACAAGGCTTGCTTCCCCATTCCATATCTTCCAAGGTGTCTGGCGTTTCGTGAGCTCTTGTTCTTGAAAAGTGCGTGCCATCGCATAAAATGAAAGTGTTAACGTGATGCCTGTGATAGCGTTGGTCATTTGAAATAAGTTATGTTGTCATACTTCGTAAAGCAGAGTGTATCTTGTATTCAGATGCAAAAACATCTGTGTATTTGTGAACACGAGCAAAGAGAACAAAAAAGGGAGAGAAAGGAAAGTGTTGAGGCACTGCGTTCAAGTGTTTCGAATTGTAACACTTGGTGTTTTGTTGCTACATCACTCTTTATGATTGATTTTTTTTTTAATTTCAGTTGAGTTAGCTTTGTTGTCGCAATAAGTCAGTGCTACTAATTATGAGCCTTCAGATCATTCCACTGTTATAGACCTGCCCTTTGCATCCCCCTTCCCTACTCCCCACTACACATGTATGACTCTTTGGAATTTGACAGAATACTGCAAAACCTGTAGCGACTTGGAAAGAGCCAGCCAGTGGGCTGGACACTATGAAAATATGCTGACGTTTGTAGTAACACGTGATAGTTAGATGCCATCAAGAGCGTATGCGCAAGTCATTTGCGAGACCCTCAAAGCCAGGCTGACACTAGTTCGTTTCCGACTGGTATTCAGGACTTGATCGTATTCAGCCTATTGTTAGCTATGATTGGCTCTCAGGGCTGCTCTGGAATTTGAGTAGCCCAAAGTATCACCACTGATAAATATCGTTTTCATGCTAAGTGTCGTCAACTTCCCCCTTGACTCCTGGGGACAGTATAAATATGTGAAGGCCACTAAAAACTAAAATGAATCATGTACCGAAATAAGGTCGAAATACAAGCTAGGTCACAAATTTGCAAAAAGAAAAAAAAAATGGCAAAAGGCGAAGTATATGTGAACGAAATACAGAGCTACGAGTGTACGCTTTTTTCCAACGCCACTATTTTTTTGTTCGCATTAGTGAAAGGTGGTGTACTATCCATCAACATCATCTCAACAAAGGGTTTGCATCTTCTGAGGAGCGAATCTGCCATCGATTGCCTAGAACTCTGTAGTGTGCGTTTTTGTGGTCGCACTTTCGGGGAGCTTTGTGGAGACATGCATGCTTCACGATCGCCGATGCGATGACTAACGCGTTCTAAATCGTGTGATTCGGCTCGTCGTCCACCTGTTTCCCTAAGACTGTTCGAAGGCGGAACGATGTCACTTGTGAGGGCAGCACGCTTTGAACAATGTAACAAGCCTGTCATGGCCGACATTGCTGGCTCGAGCAAACGTGAAGTGATGAGGTGTACATTTTATGTCCGTTTGCGTCCCCCCTCGCACCTTGTAGTACGAATTAAGAATGTTTTTTTAGTATCGTTCTCTAGACACATTTGAATGTAGTGAGTGGATATAGTCAGATTCAGTAGTTACGATGTGTCAAGTGAGAAGTAGTAAGTGACCTGATCGTCAGTGGCGTCAGAAACGGACGTCCATGCTAGTAGTAGTTTGGAACGCACTCACCATCACAAAAAAGAAAATGACTCGGGAGGAAGGGGGGGTTCTTGTCAAATGGTGTGTTCCGTGAGCTGGAACCTCCGGCTTTCGAGTTCACTCGTTTATAAGTGCTGTGTGTGTGTGCATGTCTTGTCGTTTCACAGATGATGATATAACAACAGTGTGTGCTTGTGTGCATGCGTGGCAAGGAAGCTAGAACTATGTTCTTGCATCTTGACGATTGATTCGTCCCTAGCACGGGGATTTGTTTATAGTGGCTGTTGTTTAAATAAATTGTTTGGAGACGAATCCAAGTTTCTCTGTCACTGCAATTACTCCATGGTAGTTATCCATATATTTTTCATATCTCGATTAGTTGCAACGAGAGTGATTCTCTCGTACTGGCATTCTCATGTGTTGGCTTTCAGGGCAGAAGGGTCAAATGGGCTTACATTTGTCTGGAGATGGACAAGGTATGTTTCTTTGTTTATAATCATGGAATAATTAACAAGATGACTGCAAGACCCAACTGAATAAAATAATGTATACCTTACTGTGATGATCGAGAAAAGTGATTACATAGCCACGTCCTTAGGATAATCGCCTACAGAGTGAAACTCCACCTAAAGACACGGCAGACATAGACCGACTATAGTTACACAGGACGAACTGTGCAGTGAAAAAAAGGGGCAGAAAACAAAGCTTGCATCGCTATGATCAATATTTTGCAGTTCAACTTTGCAGGATTCTTTCCGGAAATATGCTACATGTCTAGAACAAGACTGAGCGACTAATTCTGTTAAGGTACTTACCCTAGAGGGGAGATGAGGCTTCCTTTCTCATTGCTCAGGCCTTTCACCATGCTCTAATCACGGAGACCGTTTGGCCCTTGCTTGGAACATCATCAATTAGTCCATATGTACAACGTCATTTTCTTTTTGTCCTCGAGTAAGGCAGCGGTAATGTTATTTTTTGATGTGAGAAAAAGAGGGAGGCGGTTAAATGAGAGCATGTGGCGTAAATTCTTAAAAATCACAAGGGGAGACACCCTTCTTGCCATGGCAATCATTGAGTTTCCAGATGGCATGGAACTAGCATGGGTTACCTGCTCGCGTAATTTCATTGTTTTATTGAGGCCTATCTGAAACTGGCCAAGAAGTTGTGATTTCAATAGTCCTTATACAGTTTAGGAATATTGAACACATGTACACACCATAAAATAAACTGGCATTCAAACAAATTTGGACGTCCTTCTTCATCAACGCTCGATGACTACTCCTTCTATACAAATGTACCTATTGCTGGAGAGATTGAAGCTTGTCTCAAAGTCGCTGATAGAAAGCAAGCAAATACACAATGCTAAAATTTACCTCTTGTTATTAAAATTAGACCTCACATCTAATAACTTTGATTTGATTCGTCCTATACGACCGACAAACTTGTGGCACTGTAGGAAGCTCTTTTGCACCAATATATACATGAAAATTTTTTTATAGACAGTTAGAATAGGAGCTATTTATGTAATATCCAGTAGAGCTATCTGCCTATATCCACTACACAGACAACATATTTACTATATGGGGCCAAGGGATACGTGCACTAAACTCATTAATTGAAAACTGTAACAAATTTCCACTCTAGAAATGAATTTACCATACACTATCACTCCAGTGAAATTAACTCTGCAGACACGACTATTTTTATGGAAACAGGAAAATTAAAGACTATAATATGCAAAAAAACCAATGGACAGACAGTGACACCTAGATACACTAGTCATCACCCGCGTCACTGCAAACTAGAGATATTAGTCCGACAGGCGAGGCATATAAGAAGGGCCAGTAGTGTCGAGATTGAAGAGCAACCTAGAGGAAACATTACTGGAAAGAAACTATTACCGCATGACGATCTAAATAAGGTCTACTACGAAGCATGTCAGGAAACCGTTTGAAGCTAAAGGAGCCCCCGTAGCATTTACAACCAAATACTCAAATGGGCTCTCAAACAAGAAAAATGTTCGTGCTCCCAAAAGTATTATCCAATAATAGCAAGCACAAAGAGCCTTATAGAAAAGAAGTAACAAGGGTCGTGTATTACTGCATTAACATCTTAAAGGAAATATGAGTGCATGCAAAAGTATAGCTATGTAGCTGCCCTCATAGTATACCTGGCTTGTTCTCTTCCAAGATGTGATAAGACTTTCAGACACATTAATGATGACGTTATAGCTAAAAGCACCGTAAGTGATTACGCCCATTACATAAAATCTAGTTTTACTACATTAGTTTAAAGGTTATCTACTTCATCGAATCTTCATACTCTCACAAGCAGTGTATACCTCATCTCTAATTGGGTCAAATTCTCCACGTAATTGCTCTACTGCTGCAACATCTCGTTTGAAATTCATTTCGTAATCCGAAATTTCAAATATTTTCGAAATATTCAATTTGAATAAATATTTGCAATTTCAAATATTTTTCTAATAGTGCTTGCTATTCGATTCGCACTGAAATTTTACTATGTGAACTTCCGGAAGACAAGTACTGTCAATGTCCTATTGGCAGTGGCCCCTTCAGATTTATGCTTCACTTCATCACATTTTCAAGTAGGGCAAAGCTGTCTTTCAAACTCTGCTATGGTTGCAAATGTACTGATGCAAGAGAACGCTGGTTTCAACATAGAGATGATAGATTTGGCAAAGGTGGGAGCTCAATGCTGTTTTTAACCAGAAATTCGAACAGGAAGTCTGACAAATCAGACGCTGAAGATTTTTAACTTCCGTAATTTGAAATGTTCTTATATAGTTATGTCTACGAGGCAGATTTGGAATTCCAGTCTCGAAAAGGAGCACACCCTTGTCCACCACATAAGTTGGGCTTGCACAAAAGTTAAAAAAGGAGGAGAGGCTAAGAAAAAAAACGTCCTTGCTCTCCATGCGTAAACTGTTATCGGCGACACTTTTGTTGCAACAAATCATAATAGTAATTGTTAAGGTTTTATGTCCCAAAACCATATGATTACGAGGCGGCATAGCAGAGAGCTCCGGAAATTTCGATCACGTGGTGTTTTCTAATGTCCGCGCACCAAATAATCTACATAAATTTAATAATTGGCCTCTGCATTACCTCATTTTTTTTATAAGGCAACTATGAAGAACTATCCCGGCAGCGCTTCGTCAACCTAGCCAACAACAACAACAACAAAAAGAAACACGCACACTTTCATGTTGCTATATCATAAGAGATGCTTAGGAAACCTCTCCAGCATTTCACCTGCAATTTTGCTTCAAGGTATTCTAGAAAAAATATTCGATTCCATTCGCACCTAAGATTTCGCTATTCGCCCAGCTCTCACAGACATTTATTCTATATAACCACAAATGTAAGCTGTGTAAGGCCCAGGTATAGCCTCGCTTCCAGCTCCTAGACGATCAACTTTGAGCTACCCAGCAAGCTTGGGAGGCGGCGAAGAGGAAAGATCTCGACGTCCCCACGTGGGAGGCCCAGGCCCAGCCAACTGAACTGCTGGTTTCTATAAAAGTTTATTACTCCTTCTCCTGTACTTTTTATTTTGCGCAAACAGATACGCTTGTGGAATATGGACGCTCTGCATTATACAAAACGATGTAGGGGCGCAGGCTACCTTTAACCTATTTTGGGATTCGAGTTTTACAATGGAAATGCGTAGTGCGTGCCCTTTCCTTGTAGCATAATTAACAGCACACACAGTGAACGAAAGGGTTGCTTTATGACTTGTATGGTATCTAAAATTGACACCTGTAAAATGCCAACCACTGCCATTTTACAGCCATTAATGGCAAGTAAAAGTATTTACAACATTGTTAGATGTACGTTTGCGATGGTACTGTTATTGCTAGGTTGTCGCAGACTGGGTGAGTTTGTGTGCGCCATTGAACGTGAGACACCGTCACTCGCATTTCCACTCAATTGAATCACAGGAAATACACCAATCGTCACATCATATCTTATGCCTCACTACCTTTAATCGCAATACGTTTAATTCAAGCATTTACAATCGCGGTACATTGTAGGTATACAAAAATAAATACACTGAGCTGAAATAAGAGCACTTTTGAATAACGCGCCAACTATTGATATCTACTCGAAACCGTAACCTTGATCTGAGTAGACGCGAATAAAAAAAAGATGGTTGAAGACGTCTGTTAAAACTGCATAAGTAATTAACGTAGGTGTTCTTTTGTAGCGGTATATGTTCTGTTTTTGATTACTGTTGAAGAAAGAGGAAGTTTGCGCCTCGCGAAAGCAGCCAGCTGTGTCGAGTAGTGTCGACGCCAGGCGGCGCAGAAATGTAAACAGGCGGAATGACCGCTTGTCAAGAGCTTATCAGCAAAATTCGGAGGCGCAATGATGCTCGAAATGAGTGTACAATTGCTCTGAGTGGCGAAACGGGTCTCGTATGTGCCAAATTCCTCGTCGAAGAACGTAAGTTCGTCTTGCCGAGTTCGTCGTGCGCTCCGCTCGGAGTGCCGTTCATTCGGATGGCACAGGCATGCAATTGAGAGCTTTTGTTCAGTTGTTTGGGTCCCGTGGTTCTAACGCAGACTCAGCAGGATATACGCTTGCCGTCGTCAGAACCATCTGAGAAGCTACCACAAACTACTGACACTCTGTCTAGTGTTCGTTGCTAATGTTTGTTGTTAAGCGAAACAGGCACGTTCCACAACGCAGTTGTCGAAGCACGGCCACTTCATATCTCTCTCTTTTTTTTCTAAACAACAGCGTTTCACCATAATGTTTCCGCTTTGTACATTTCAGTGAGTATCATTTGAGAGCCTGTTACGTTTTTTTTTTTTTTTATCAATGTCACGAGGAAAAGGAAATGCGTATCAGTCAATGGGTGGTGTTGGTTTCGCTCAGCATGGATCAAGTTACCGAAACATCCTGTGTTCTTTGACCGGGTGTATTGTCTGGGATCACTGGCATGCCGACGAGGCTTCGCCTTCTTGCACGGTTATAATACCGGTTGCGAAGGAAATAGAGTTCGTGTCTACTGATTTTTTGTATATAACACGCTGCAGTCAACCATGTTTAGAGTTGTTCGACCTTCGGCCAATGACGTTCAAGTCGCCAGTGCATATCTTGTTACATGCTGTATGGGTTAAATAGCGAGCACGCTTTTTTACCTAAGAAAGGAGAGAGAAACCAAAGCTTCTCCATCTCGGTGGAAAAAGCTATTGCCGCTTAGTTTTCATTAGGAAACACTTACAATCTACTTTCCTCTTTTTTTGCACACTTTCATCGTATGTATGATAAGACAGTGTGGTAATCTTCATTGTTAGAGATAACGTCGCTGCGATTTCATTCTTTAATGAGAGCACATGGATTGACACATTCCTAGTTCTGTGTGCGCCCAAATGCACCTTGCACATCTATTCATAGTTTATCAAGCCTGTTCTGACAGCATTTCTTATCTACAGGTGAAAGGATGCAGAGATCAGCAGTCTGATTTCACAATGCAAAGGTATGATGTGCTTTCCTTGAAACATACTTATGAGCAGACTGAGCAAATGTATAGAGTTTGAATGTTTTACGGTAATGAAAGTATTGCTCTGTTCCTTGAACGGCCTTCTGAACAGGACATGTGAAATATAACCCACTGTCATTCTACAACACTCAGCACTGCAATTCGGAACTTTTTGCTTGTTTTTAGCAATTGTCGAAAAAAGGAAGTTCTCAGTTTTTTTATTATTTTGTTTGTATAGATAGCTTACACACTGGGATCACACGAGTGGATTATCAGTGTGCTGACCCTCCGACAAGGCAGGCAGACTGAAAGTCTGTGCAAAAACTCTGTGGACAGCTGGCCGTTAGCCTGTGATGTGTATTGATACAAAAAGTAGTGCCAATGTTAACATTTGCAGCATCCCTAGCAATCAAGCCTTGCTCCCTAGTGCATCTTCAGAGCAAGCCTTGTGCTAGCAGGCTGGCAGTTACGTGCTATCTTAGGGCTAAGCGAAATGCCAGGCTTTGCCACCGCTAGGCCCAGTGATGCGCCATACGCATACTGCCAACACATGATAGTGGTGTGGCAAAGATAAGTGGCACCAAGTGCAGCAAAAGATAAAGGGCAGCCAAGCACTTGCACGGGCATGCACACGCAGGGGGCACAGACCGTCTGCCTAGCCCTTCCGTCGTAATGCTAAGATGCACCTTATGCAATCCTTATGGTACAAGGCACTCCCTAGTGCATTCCTCAAGCACTATAGGCAGTGAGGCACACCTGCTAGGGAGACATCGCACATGCAGACTATGGCTCTGTTGCACCGAACAGCGAGGGGCTGCCTCTCCGGCATTCTGAATTATTTTATGGGCACCTGTATACTGTGTAGTTCAGAGGTTGATGTGAGCTTTCATGTGGACATAAAGAGTATCATTACATTGTGTAAGCCGTGACGTTGCATAATGATATCGAAGTGCCCGATACTATATTGCAAGCCAGTCGAGAACTGTCATACAACGACGAGCTCACAGTCTTCCTGCGAATTTGACGCCAGGTGACAAGCGCCGTCCGTGGACCAAGAAGTCTGAATGGGGGCAGCAAGCTCCTCCCATGACCCTGCCTGCCCAAGGCCGGAGCCCCACTGGATTCACTATGGCTCCATCAACCTGGAAGACGAATTGCCAGCCGAGGCACTCAAAGTAGGGGCCTCTGTGGGGAAAAAGATTTCTCCTGTGCGGAAGATTCTTTGCCCTGTTGGCCACATTTGATGTCTGCTTTTGCTCTTTCCTCTGGATTCTCTGTGCAATGGTGAGTGGTATACTTTTCATGTACTGTAAACCTCAAATTTCGGATAAAGTGGGTACTTATTGTATGAATAGCTCAGTGGCAGTGTAAGAGTGATGAAATTGTGTGGAAAAGATTGGCCACACTTTGTGGCCAAAAGGCCAGTAACAACTCAATAGAACGCACTCAAAAAATACACACTTTGATGTATTCCACGTTGTGGCGAAGTTTGGGCCCACCTTTCGTTCATTCCGCTCCACCGCGGTGGTCTAGTGGCTAATGTACTCCGCTGCTAACCCGCAAGTCACGGAATCGAATCCCGGCTGCGGCGGCTGCATTTCCGATGGAAGCGGAAATGGGGTAGGCCCGTGTGCTCAGATTTGGGTGCACATTAAAGAACTCCAGGTGGTCGAAATTTCCAGAGCCCTCCTTTACACAGCATCTCTCATAACCATATGATGGTTTTGGGACGTTAAACCCCACGTATCAAAACCTTCCGTTCATTCTGGTCCAAAAGGTAAAGACTCAAAGCTCAAGCAAAACAAGTGTACATACTGTTTTACAGATGGTGCATAATGTAGTAAGAAAACATGCAAGAATGAGTCATGAAAGAACTTGTCCAGCGGTGCCCTATCACGGACTGCTGCAGCCGTGTTGAGTTGTCAGGCAGGGGTTCTTTCTAAAGGAGGAACATCCCTGTAGTATTGCTACACATAATGGAGTTGAAACACTGCTGAAAAACTGGACGTTGGGATAGAACAGACAAGAAAGTTTATACATGCAGCATTTAAAGTTTGCCTTGACATCAGCATTTCCGCCGTTTCAACAGACGAACATTCAGTCTACCGAGAGTTTCGGTCAAAATTTTTTGTGAATAATCGATGTTCTCATGCTAAATCATGCATTCAAAGCATATCTCGCATTTTGTTGATAGTATATATTGATGTACTGTTGTGCTTTGTGTGAGCCACAACATGTGGGCATGCAGCAAGGCTTTTTTGCCTTGTGGGTAAGCAACCACAACGGTGCTGACAGTACAGATAAAATTTCTTGCAATGTGCCCCGCCGTGGTGGTCTAGTGGCTAAGGTACTCGGCTGCTGACCCGCAGGTCGCGGGCTCAAATCCCGGCTGCGGCGGCTGCATTTCCGATGGAGGCGGAAATGTTGTAGGCCCGTGTGCTCAGATTTGGGTGTACGTTAAAGAACCCCAGGTGGTCAAAATTTCCGGAGCCCTCTACTACGGCGTCTCTCATAATCATATGGTTGTTTTGGGACGTTAAACCCCGCATATCAATCAATCAATTTCTTGCAATGTTTCTCATTCATACACGGGCTGTTTCGTACTTTGGGGAGAGCTCCGAGCACATTGCATCTTATTGCAGCGATTTCACGAGTCAGGCAACTGCAAAACTTGGTGCAGATGCTCAAGGAGCAGAGTCTCCAGCCGCGTTGTCTGCAGTGGCAGCTTGTGCTGGCCACATTGTCAAGAGGGCCACAGGGTACCTGCAACTCTTAAATAAAAGAAAATTTCTTGTCCATTCATTTCGGCAGTGAGTAGACTCCCACTCTACAATGAAGGGTCATTCGACAAGATTTGGAGGGGAAGCCCCTGCTCCGTCATAGATCAAAATTTAAGATAGTGGTGAAAGAGCCGCTAAGAATAAAGACTGCTCGCCTGTGCTTCTAATTTAATGGTTTATTAAATATGCATGCATTCAATGTCTTCATTCACCGTCGTCGGCAAATAAAAACAGTGATCGAAACAGTGAAAATAGTGGCATGGGAGAAAAGGTTGCATATTTGTTACAACACTCCCCCCCCCCCCCCCCCCCCCAAAAAAAAGAAAAAAGAGGGTGTGCTTGTTTGGGATTTTACGGTGTATTAGACATGCATGAACATTGCAGCCCTGCCTCTAGGTCTTTGCACAGTATTTACTTTGAGGTGAAGTGTTACAGAGGAGCTTGGCTGCAGTAAATGTGTTATACATATTTTAGCTCTAACCATTACAGTGTGTTGGTAAATTTCTTCAACGCTACGGTCATCCTTGAAAGGTTTCTACAAAAAATATCAAGTCCCCAGTATGATGAATGACACATTTTGCTTAACACTGAGTCTTGTTGCTTTAATTCCTAGCTGTTCCATCTAGTGAGCTATGGTCTGTGTTTTTTTTGTTGCAGCTGCAGTACAAGTCAGTAAAACTAGTCTATGAAAAAGAAATCCTGGAATATGGAATTTCGACTTCTTGTTCGACATGTCCGTAAGTACAGATTTTAATGTCTGCAGAAGTGGTGCTCACACTTATGAATACTATTGAAGTGTAAAGGGTTACATATTTTATAGCTACACGTTACTAAAGTTCATGCACTAATTCTTCATCAGGCTGTAAAGTGGGAAAGAAGGTATTTCTGGCTGTGCATGCCAGTTATGGATCCGATTCTTTTTTGTGCCTGTTGCCTTGGCGCTTCATTTTTCCTATTTAATCCGTGCTTCTGCCCATGAATAAACAGTGCGAGTTTGCTTTTGTCCTCGTAGAAGGATTGACGTTTGGGCATGTTGGAATTGATGACGCGTTTTGAAATAGACAGCGCTCAAGGATGCTGTATGAAGGGCAGCAGACGGCACTGTGTGGTCTGTAATACTTCTTGTGTCCTCATTTTGTGGTGCTCATTTCAGAATGCCTTGTCCTCATGCTCTATCCTGTGAACACATATATTTTTTTTTTTTGTGCAGTCTATCACTTTAAATATGCTAACACACTAGGCCAATTGTGAGTTCTACTTTTTTCTCTATGTATTGCAAAACATTCAGTACTAGTAAAGGAATGCTTCCACTTTTTTTGCGTTTCATGTCCATTAAAGTGCAGTGTTCGGTTTCACGAACAGTTTTGGAAGTTTCCTAGATATGTATGCTTCAAAATGATGTGCAGTGGCAAATCGTTTCATGAAAAGAAGTTATCACTTTCTGGAGAATACTACCGCACAATGAGAAAAATCAAGATCTGATAAAGATCACTATTTTCACCTTGATTCCAAATTTGATCCCTATTGGGACATTCCATTAATATTTTTTTCAATGACAAGACCCGTAATTGAAGACTTTGTTGCTTTGTGCCACTGTGAGCTGCACGAGTTTCCCTTTCATAAGGCTTCCTACACCTTGTGGATTTCTGCAGATATGAAGTGCCATGTTGTTTAACTGTCATTTCGATCAGATGTCTAGACTTTTCATTTGTATATTCAGTTTTTGTGTGTATGCTCCATTGTGTTGTGTTCTTTTATGGGCATCTGTTTTAAGCTGCAACTGCAGCAGTGCACCTAATTTTGTATTTATATAACTTGTATGAAACAGGTGTTCCTGGAATCATATCACTGGAATCATATCATACTTTGCTGCTGTTCAAAAGGAACTATTTAATATTATACAAGTGTTATGTGATGCGAAAGAAAGAAAAATGAAATAAACCAGTAGGCGACGCTGACCCATTCAAACCAAGTTCATGGCTTTTTTGTCTGTGTTCTTGTCTCTTGTGGTATGCATAAAAAATTGAAAGGTTCGTGCGCTGAACATTTTTCAGGTTCTCTCTGCCCTTCGCTTCGTGGTGCTGATTTTAGCGTACATTGTGTTCCGGTTGAAGCACTGGCTCCTGGTCGCACTCATGACCACGCTCAGTGGTGCCATCGTCATCTGCAAGACCTTCCTGTACGACTGGCAGGGCCAGTTGGCAGTGAACTCTGGTGTCCTAGCTGGAGTGCTGCTTCTTGTGACATCCTTTGTGCTGCCCTGGGGGCAGGCCTGGTTTTTGGACTTTCGTGTTGTGCCTAGTGAGAACCGGGCATCGCAGCTGCTTGCACGCATAGTCAATGATGCCTTCCCACCCGTGCCATCGACACTTGGCCGGGAAAATGTGCGCAGTGAAGATGGAGGCACCACTTTCTACTCGCCTGAAAGCGGTGAGACAAGCCATGGTTCTCTTTTATGGTGTTGCAAGGCAAGCGTATTCGGGGCAAGTCTACTAAGCTGCATAGAGACATGTGTAACTTTTTACTAGTCAAGCGAATGGGGTGCAATATTATCTGTTAAAGTTTGCATCACCTGGGTTAACACTGCATAAATGTGTTGTTGCAGGCACTTCTTTTTTTTGTGTGTGTGCCTCTAGCATGCTGTATTTTTACATAATCATTGTTTTCTTCCTCTGTGCCTTCCTGAAGTATATAGGGGTTTTGAGCATTCTTATCTGTATATATACCCATTTGTACATGGTACTTTGAAAATTTGCAATAATTGAATGTGATAACGTCACAAAAATTCATTGCAAAGACCTCCTTTCTCACCAACAAGCCAAGCCAGCTTTTGCAGCAAGTGTGTCTCTCGTTGTTTTCGTCGTGTTGTTTTTTGCACTACATTATGAATTTGATTCAACTTTTGCAGTTGATAAATATAGAGGTTACTGTCTTTCTATTTTTTCATAGCATGTGGCCAATTTCATTTCACTACCACGCAATACATTTATCTGCAATATAAATTTGTTGAGTGAATTTCCTCTTTCCTCGTAAGGATGCGTGCATGAAAAAAAGTCCACATTTATAAATGCATTTGTAATGCACCTATAACGTGCTGAGATCTCTAGAAAAAGAAGTGGTTTGGATATTAGATGAGCACATTTGCCTTGAAGCCTTGTTCAAACATGCACCCGCAAATTATGTGTTTGTATACTTTATTGCAGGATCTGAAAGTGAGTCCCTGGCAGGAGATGATGTGCGTGTTAGAAGTGAAGATTCAACTACCTCATGACCTGCGTGTCAGATTTGAGCAGCCAGAGATTTATCCAAAAGTGCTGGCCCCCGAGGTAAGTTTGGTCTTGCAAACACAATCACTGCATTGTCCAACGTGATGAGCTTGGTGTGACTGTTGATGCTTCCTTCTAAAGCTTTTCAGTATTTCTTAAGCCTAAAATATGCTTGTACAATGCTTAGTGACTCACCCATGGGTCCATAGATGCACTTGTAACTTGTATACATTCTATTTGGCAGTTTCAACAGTAGTTGGCTTCCGTAAACTCAGTTGCTATTTTATTTTGACTGGTCTCGTTTCAATCCTAGAGTGGCCTCGTCTTTTTACAAAGTGTAACAAGAATGGCGTGTGCATTATGTTTGAATAAAAAACTGAAACCATGTTTATGGCCCTGGTGACACTGTCAGAGTTTGAATCATGGCCACAAGATGGCTACAGAAGTGTATTTTGGGTAGTTTGGTGAAAGCAACGATCCACTTTGATGAGAGGAGCTCGTTTAAAAAAGATCACTTTACATGCTGTGTTATTAATGACAGGACTGCAACTCATATTTTCAGGGCATCGGTGTCTTGCTCCACATGACAAACTAAAGAATTGCTTAAAATAGGTATAGGCCACCCTTTTGTACTTATTCTTTTGCTGTGGTGGTGGGGTCATTGAAAAAACATGGCTGATTCCCCTATATAGGAGTCGGTATAACAAGAGAGCGAAGCATGTCTTTTTGTGCATTGTTTATTGTGCAGCGTTTGTTGTGTGCAGCATTTATTGTGCATTGTTTAAGGAACACCAGCAAATTGAAAAGTCACATTAAGAATGGCAAACAACTCGAAACTTGCCGCGTACACCTCAAGCAGAAAGCACGCACGAAATTAACATACACAAGACGAGTGCATTGTGTAGACAAAAAGGCGCACGAAACAAGTGCACAAGTATACACATTGCAAGCGCGTACAACTGTCACAATTTTTCCTCTGTCATGCGTCAGCAGCGCGCTTCTTTGTAAACGCGGTTGCGCAGCGTGCCAAGTGACCTTCATCATCTCCCAAATTCTTACATCATGCCTTAATTACGAGTCTGATAAGCACGCACACAGGAGAGACCACATCCTGTGTTGGCGGTGATTTGTAGAGGCAACGACATTTAGAGCGCACCCAATGCGAGCCGGTCGTGCCATCTCGCCACTGATAATGAAAAAGCGCTCAAGTTTCGAGGCTCTGAGGACTGCGAAGCGGTGTATGTAAATGGCTTGCCTTTAGCATTCTAGACAAGGTATGCTCCATGGCGTAGTAGTTAGTGCCGGGCACTAGAAAATAAGGCATCACTGGTTCAATTCTGCGCGAGATATGCTTGCCTCGGCTTCTCTCTTTGCAATCTCTTAGTATATTTTTCAACACCACATTTGTGATGGAAGTACGTTAACGGAGCTGTGGTGGGCCCTGGCATAAAACACTTTGGTGTTAAATTGTGGAGCGGAACACATGAAGCACAGCACTGTGAGGCTCATGTAAATAATAACTTGTCTAAGGGTGGTGAAAATAAACGCAAAGTGTACACATCTATTCTTAGATTGTAAACGATGCAGTTATTGCCTTTTGCTGATCGCCAGATTCCGAGGCATAGCACTTCATTTTCGAAATTGTAAATTGGACATGTTATATTTGGGTTTGCATCTGGGAATGTATCAGAAGCTAGCAACTGCTGTTAAAAAAAAGCATCAATGTATCTGGACATTTTTTCTGCCTTACCTTATCATTTGACCTGCTTTGTTTGTACATTTCTGACATAGATGTCTCAGTGGGATTTATGAAAATTGATTTGCCGTGAATTTCATATCATGTGCATAACTCATGGTACAACACCTATTAGAATTAACAGCCCTCCTACAGGGGTGCGCTTTTGTTTAGCTTTAAAGATTCTGTGACAGACAAGTTATTGAGATAGCCTTATTGCTGCCCAAGGCACTTGTAACTTGCAAAATGTTAGGGACGTACATAGCCCACATAGTAAATGTCGGGCAGTCTCTTCCTTTTTTTATCTGTATCTCAGACATTTTGGCTTCCCAACTGGTAGTGTGGAAGATGTAAGAGTAGGGGAGTTTGTTATTCATTAACTCCTGAAACTGTGCACGTGTTTGCTGTTTGGTAACACAAGTGGTAACAATGGATGGCAGTGATTGGTTCATGTCTGTTGCGCACGTGTGTTTCAACAGGAGCGTTCTTACAAGCGCAAAGCTGAGGAGGCCTTAGACACAGCCTTGAAGATATTCCATGAGAGCAATTGGAAAACTGAAAAGATGGACCACAATGGTGCTATACAAACCTGCCATCATTCCAAATTCGGCAAGGTCTACAAGTATGCGGTATGTCTCTTGCACCACCTATTTTTTAATTTATGTTTAGAGAACACAGAGTTTACTTTACAGTTCGACTATTTCATGCTTCCAACATTGAAGTGTTTGGGTGTTTATACATTCCCAATCCCTCTTCTTTTTATGCTTAGGCGCAGCTTAACATATGTGCTCAACTGTGGAATTTTGTGTTGCCGCTAGCAAAAATGGGGCTTCCTAGTGCCGTGTTTCCGCTGTATAAGTACATTTGTAGACAGGATCAATCGTGCCAACCTCAGATTTCAACTGCGGTTCGACTGAACATGAACACATAAGTCAAGTTTGATGGCCCAGTGTCCACATACATGAATGGTGACGTTGAGTTCATTATTTCTACATCTGTAACTGTATACTTCAGTTCTGCAAGTTACAAGCTTGTTGCGTGGACTGAAATATTCACCAAACACATTCCAAGAAAAGTTTGTGGTATCCTTGCATTACTATTGCAAAAGAAAAAAAATTATATAACCTTTAATAAAGGGTCAACATCTTGCCAGTCTTTGTGCACACAAGTCCTCTCTTGCCTTTTATTTACACAATTTTGATTGAAGTAAAGCTAGTTGGAGGTCTGCATTTTTTGCCTCTCTTTGTCTCATCAGCTTTGAAACCTTGTACATATGTGCTGTCAGTATTTAGAATCGTAAAACTTTCATTGGCTGCGGGTTACCTGGTATGCATGAACAGGTGCTTCAGCAATTATCCACTGTATGTTACACTGTCTGGCTGCCAAATTGCAAAATGTTCCTTATCTTTACTGTCTATAATGTATATAAATTGAATGAAGTGCTTATCTTGTATTTCAGGGTACACTGCCGGCATCTCCAGAAATCATCTTGGACATCCTGTTCAACAAACTGGAGGAGCAAGTCCTGTGGAATCCTTCAGTGAAAGAAGCCAGGGTATGCAGCTTGTGATATGACGAGCACTGTGAGCTGGCCTGTGAGGCTGTAGCAGTGGGAGCTATATTTTGTCTTCGTAACTTCATCTAGTGCACAAGATGTGCATTCTTTATTTACAGCACGCATCAATCGCTAGTATAAATGACCATGACATCTAGCAATAAGTAGAAGTGTATGTAAGATATGCTTTTCAAATGGGTGCATGCATCTCGCATTCAGAATCATGCAGGTTTCATGTGTATCATCATGTATTAGTGCTGTGCTACTAATTGTTGGCCCTCCATGCTTCCAGATGTCTTAAGTAGTAAGAACTATATATGTTGTTGGAGTGTAAACTAGGGTTGTGCAAATGTCGAAGTTTCAAATTTGAACCGATTTCAAATAACGGGAACTAAGTGCACATTGAATCAATTATCTTTCTAATGTTTTAGAATACGAATAGTACAGCTAATCACCACACTGGCATGAAAGAGTGTGCTTGTTGTACAGCAGATAATGTATGGGAAATTTATGTATTGTACAACACTACAGCTTGAGAAAGCAACAAATATGGTTATATAATGTTGTCATGACGAATGGATAGCTGTTTGATATTTTCTGGAAACAGTGACGCCTTTATGCATGTCACTGTCTCTTCAGCCATCGAAAACAGCCACTCACAAAACACGCTGTGCTGGTGTGTTAACCCGGTCTTCATCATTGAATCTTCTAAGCATGCAATGACAACTGATCGTCATGATGTCCATTGCAGGTGCATTTATCGATTGTTGGTGTCCGTTACAGATGGTCAGTGAAGGTTATATTGTCATGGCTCTAGGTTAAGGTAGTGGCATAGTTCGTATAATATGTATTAATAATTTTGTCATTTGACACATGGTTCATGCTTTGAAATGTAGTTAACGATTATTTTTATTTTTTCATATTTTCTTTTGCAGGTAATAGAGAGTATAGACAGTCAGACAGACATCGTGTACATACTGTCAGATGGTGCAAAAGGAGTCGTGTCTTGTAGGTACGTTGTCTACCGGTATATGCTCTTACATGGAAGAGTGGTGCCATACCTGCTCGCGTTAAATATTTATATAAAATTTGCCTTTCCAAAAAACTATCTGTTCGGGGTCATACTTTGTGATTAGCTTATATTCATAGTGAAATTGGCAGCGGGCTTTCTCGAATAACAACATCTCTGTATAAAAACAGTTGTTCTTGTTTCACTTGCAGGATTTGAGTTGGTGGCACCATTTGTTTTTCTGCAATTGCTAGCAGTGTGTATGATACGCTCTGATAAAACATGCAGCCACCTCTTGGCTGCACTATAGTACATTCAAACCTTGATATGACGAACCCTGATCTAATGAAATACTGGTTACAAAAAAAGTAAATGGAGAATAGTATTACAATAGGTATAGTGTTATGAATATACCTTTATCACAAATTTAGATATAACGAACCCATATCAATGTAGATACAAGTTCATTTTAATGAGGTTTGAGTGTATTCCTCACGAGTGCCTTGTAATCGGCTATACATGGCTGCAGTTTCATGCCACCGAAACCTTTTAAATAATCAATCAACCGATACTTGAGCGATTAGTTAGCCAGGAGATTAGCTCAGTGGTGTGACATTTCGTACGATTTCAATTTCCACTTTGGGAAAAGCGCACTTCATTGCCTGCGCTGTCCATCTTTTTCAGGGATTTTGTGAACCTCAGAATGTGGCAAAAGCGTGGCGAGTCCTACTTGCTGTGTGCCATTGGTGCCGAGCATGCCAAGCAGCCACCCAAGAAAACGATTGTGAGGTAACGGTCCCTCTTGCCTTCACTGCATGCCTCAATATACTCAGTGAATTAAATATAGGCAGCAACGTCACTTGGGCTAGGGGTGCATATTTTATTCTTGATATTGAATGTGCTGTCTGTATGCTAGTGATATGGCTGCTTTGATGCTGCTGTCTGTGAAGTTCTGTTTACCACTTTGTTTGATATAAACCCCATTGTGACGATGTCCAACTTTGCACTATAGCTGTTTCTAATGAATGATAAATGAATATAGTAAAATGGGTATGGGCTTGTTCCTATAAGCAAACACTTTCTCTGTAATTCCCCATGTGACACTCTTTCCCCTTTCCTTGATTATGGTATTGCGACAGCCATACCTTGTTTTGCGACTCTATCACGAAAACTGGTATAAATAGACAAGCTTTGTGGAAACTGTTGAGCTAGTTTCGTGACTGAAATGTTCTGCTTAGCTTAAGGTTGCGTGTTTGACTGCTGGCCACAGTTGCTACATTTTGATGATGGCAAAAAAATCTGTATGCTTAGATGTAAGTGCGTGTAAAACAACACGAGGCAGTCTGTATTGATCTGGAGGCCTCCGTTATGCTGCATCTCAAATTATAACATTTAGGATTTAGCATTTAAAATCCCAGAATTAAATGTCAACATATTCGTTGCACAGAAAAAAAATGCAGATAGAAGTGAAATCATGACAGGTGCAGTGCCACGTAACTACTGAAGTTTATTGAAGGGATATAAAAGACAGAGGAGACATGACGTAGAACTAATGATAAGAAATATGAAAAAATTGCTTCAATGATCTGTGACTGATGAGGCCAAGTTTTTTAGTCAAGGAAGCAGATCCAGACACGCACATCGTGAACCCTGTTTGGCTATCTCGGCTTCCATTATCTCTCTTGTTAGCTGGGAGCAGCTTCATCACTCGCTCCCAGCTAGAGATTATCTTTATGGCTTCCAAAGCTGGCAATTTCTCTGGCTTGCATTGCCAGATTGGGTTCACACTGTGCAAGTGTTGCAACAGTTGCTTTGACTAAAAAAGGAACTTGCGTTCTTGTCTCGCGCATGACAGTCACAGATGAAGTAGGCAATTTTTGTTATGTTTTTATTAGGTTTGTACAAATAGTGAATTTTAGGTTGGAAGTGAATTAATACAAAACCAATATCATAGTGATTTTGGTCAAGTAATTACAAATCAAATAGTACACATCACATAGTATTATAAAGAAAAATAAGCATAATTGTCATGACCCAACTAACCTTCAAGATATTTTTTTATAAATTTAAACAAGGCCTGTGCAAGTGACATTTTTTTGTTGTTGTTCAAAGGAAGTGTAAACAACTTTAAATAGTAGCATGATTTGACTTTTGGCAGAGTGCAAGTGATAACCAGTAAAATATGTAGCGTTTTAAAATTTATTTTACTCTGAGCATATAAGCCATTACAACAAGCTTTTAACTAAAAAAGAAGAAATGATGAATCGATGCGAAGGAAATATGCTCATTGAACCTTGAAATGGGGCTTTCTGTGTGTTCATTTTGAATTATTCAAAATTTTCGATAATTTAAATTTGAACAGAAGCAAATTCGAATACTGTACTATTTGTTCGAATATTCGCACAAGTCTAGTTTTTATTGCTATTTTTTTGCCACTTCTCCTTTAGACTTGTTGTTTCTTTGATAAGCTTCAGTTGTTGGTCACTTCTATAGTTTCTTCACTTTCGTTTGGATTTTTTCTGTACAGTAAATATTAGACTTGTTCGAATAGTGAATTTTAGGTTCGAAACAAATAGTGATTTTGATCGAATACTATCCATCACATATTATATAGAAAAATGGCCGTATTTGTCATGACCTAAGTTTTAAAAAATTTAAACACAACCTATGTTTTGCGAAAAAGGTGGGAGCAACTTTAAATTGTACGGTTATTTGACTTTTGGGAGAATACAAGTGATCACGTACAAAATATGCTAAATTTTAAAATTTACTATGCCTAAAGCATATACCGTATTTACTCGCATAATCCTCGCACTTTTTTTTTGGCGGAAAACCGATGCAAAGTTGGGGGGTGCGAGAATTACGCGTGGAAAACTTACGGGGAAAGTCGTCACAAATCAGGATTCTCACACCAGTAACTAACAGCAAGCTTTGAGAAGCACGAATTAAAACTTACCTCAACAATAAAAGCACAGGTTCAACACAAGGCAAGTTTTATTTGAGACATAAAATGTGCAAGGAAATAGTCGAGAATTAAAATACCAAACGCAAAGCTTGTGGGCGTTGCGGGCGTAGCGGTAACGTTTGTCGCTCAACAGGAGCCCTCAAAAAATAAGCGTAGGACGTCAGTATCGGGTTAATGGCTATCTTACAAAATCGTCTGCAGTTTCCTTCAGAAGAAATAAAGTTTACTATCAATCCCAGTTTTAGACACACGGAAAGCCCAACGCGTCTTGGTGGCTTTCAGCTGCCGTCATCAGTAGCGAACACAAAACTCGTAGACTCCAAAGGGCCTACCGGAGGCCCTGTTGCCGTTGTTTAGTGCACAATCCATCACTTTCAGCTTGAAATGAGCCGTGTAGCTTCGGTATCGCCTCATAACGTGACAAGATTACCGACACAACATACAAAACACGCCGCAACGCGCACTTGCCACTTTGGCTTGGCTTGGATTGCATTGAATCTCCGTGCGATAATAGAACGCTTGATGCATAAGAGATGGCGCCAGATGGTGTGTGCTATCATCATCAGTGGTTTGAATGAGCAGACGACATTATTCCGGCAGTTTTTGGGGGTGCGATAATTACTCGAGGTAAAAAGAAATCGTATTTTTGTTGGGCGATGTGGGGGGTGCGAGAATTATGCGAGTGCGAGGATTACGCGAGTAAATCATCATAATCATCAGTCTGACTACGTCCATTGCAGGACAAAGGCCTCTCCCATGTTCCTCCAATTAACCCGGTCCTGTGCTTGCTGCTGCCAATTTATACCCGCAAACTTCTTAATCTCATCTGTCCACCTTACCTTCTGTCTCCCCCTAACCCGCTTCCCTTCTCTGGGAATCCAGTTAGTTACCCTTAATGACCAGCAGTTATCCTGTCTACGCGCTACATGCCCGGCCCATGTCCATTTCCTCTTCTTTATTTCAACTATGATATCCTTAACCCCCGTTTGTCCCCTAATCCACTCCACTCTCTTCTTGTCTCTTAAGGTTACACCTACCATTTTTCTTTCCATTGCTCGCTGCGTCGTCCTCAATTTAAGCTGAACCCTCTTTGTAAGTCTCCAAGTTTCTGCTCCGTAGCTAAGTACCGACAAGATACAGCTGTTATATACCTTCCTCTTGAGGGATAGTGGCAATCTACCTGTCATAATTTGAGAGTGCTTGCCGAATGTGCTCCACCCCATTCTTATTCTTCTAGTTACTTCAGTCTCGTGGTTAGGCTCTGCGGTTATCACCTGCCCTAAGTAGACATAGTCTTTTACAACTTCAAGTGCACTATTACCTATCTCGAAGCGCTGCTCTTTTCCAAGGTTGTTATACATTGCTTTCGTTTTCTGCAGATTTATTTTAAGACCCACCTTTCTGCTCTCCTTGTCTAACTCCGTAATCATGAGTTGCAATTCGTCCCTTGAGTTACTCAGCAATGCAATGTCATCGGCGAAGCGCAGGTTACTAAGGTATTCTCTATAAACTCTTATCCCTAACTGTTCCCATTCTAGGCTTCTGAAAACCTCCTGTAAGCACGCGGTAAATAGCATTGGGGAGATTGTGTCCCCCTGCCTTACACCCTTCTTGATTGGTATTCTGTTGCTTTCTTTATGAAGCACTATGGTAGCAGTTGATCCCCTGTAGATTTCTTCCAGAATGTTTATATATACTTCATCTACGCCCTGATTCTGCAGTGTCTGCATGACGGCTGATATTTCTACTGAATCAAATGCCTTCTCATAATCTACGAAGGCTATGTATAGTGGTTGGTTATACTCTGAGCATTTTTCTATTACCTGATTGATAGTATGAATGTGGTCAATTGTTGAGTAGCCTGTTCGAAATCCTGCTTGTTCCTTTGGTTAATTGAATTCTAATGTTTTCTTTACTCTGTTAGCAATTACCTTTGTAAATAGCTTGTATACTACAGAGAGCAAGCTGATCGGCCTGTAATTCTTTTTAGTCCTTGTGATCTCCTTTCTTATGTATTAAGATGATGTTAGCGTTCTTCCAAGACTCTGGTACCCTTCCCGTCAGGAGACACCTTGTAAACAGGGTGGCTAGTTTTTCTAACACAATCTGTCCTCCATCTTTCACCAGGTCTGATGTTACCTGATCCTCACAAGCAGCTTTGCCTCTTTGCATGCTCTCCAAAGCTTTTCTGACTTCTATCATTACTGGTGGGGTGTCATCAGGGTTACTGCTAGTTCTTATAGTATTAAGGTCGTGGTTGTCTCGGCTACTGTACAGATCTCTGTAAAACTCCTCCGCTATTTTAACTATCCTATCCATATTGGTAGTTATTTTGCCTTCTTTGTTCCTTAGTGCATACACCCGACTTCTGCTTATCCCAAGTTTCCTCTTCACTGCTTTGACGCTTCCTCCGTTTTTCAGAGCGTGTTCAATTCTCTCCAAGTTATACCTTTTTACATCGCATACTTTACGTCTATTAATCAACTTCGAAAGCTCTGCCAGTTTTATTTTGTCTGTTGTACTTGAGACTTTCATGATTTGACGCTTCTTAATTAGGTTCTTCGTTTCCTGGGAAAGCTTGCCAGTGTCCTGTCTAACTACCCTGCCTCCAACTTCCACTGCACACTCCTTAATGATACTCGTCAGATTATCATTCATTGTATCTACGCTATGGTTGGTTTCCTCACTAAGAGCCGAGTACCTGTTCTGCAGCGACACTCGGAATTCCTGTACTTTCCCTCTCAGTGCTAGCTCATTGATTGGCCTCTTGCGTATCAATTTCTGTCGTTCCTTCTTCAAGTCTAGGCGAATTCGAGACCGTACCATTCTATGGTCACTGCATCGTACCTTGCCAACCACTTCCACATCCTGCACGATTCCTGGGTGTGCAGTCATTATAAAGTCTATTTCGCTCTTATTTTCGCCATTAGGGCTCCTCCATGTCCACTTGCGGTTTTCTCGTTTTCGGTAGAAGGTATTCAAAATCCGCAAATTATTGCGTTCTGCGAATTCTACTAGTATCTCTCCTCTGGCGTTTCTAGTGCCGATGCCATAATCTCCTACTGCCTGGTCTCCTACCTTTGCATTGAAGTCGCCCATCACTATAGTATACTGTGTTTTTACCTTACTCATTGCCGATTCCACGTCTTCATAGAAGCTTTCAACTGAAGCGTCATCATGGCTGGATGTAGGTGCATAAGCCTGTACTACCTTCATCTTGTATCTTTTATTCAGTTTAATTACAATACCTACCACCCTTTTATTAATGCTATAGTATTCCTCTATGTTGCCAGCTATGTTTCTGTGAATTAGGAACCCCACTCCCAGTTCTCTTCTGTCTGCCAAGCCCCGATAGCAAAGGATGTGCCCATTCTGTAGCACAGTATAGGCCTCATCTATCCTCCTAACCTCACTGAGCCCTATTATATCCCATTTAACACCCTCTAGCTCCTCGAATAGTACAGCTAGACTTCCCTCACTAGATAAGGTTCTGGCGTTAAATGTTGCTAAGTTCACGTTCCAATGGTGGCCTGTCCGGATCCAGAGATTCTTAGCACCCTCTGCTGCATTGCAGATCTGACCGCCGCCGTGGTCAGTTGCTTTGCAGCTGCTGGGGACTGAGGGCCGTGAGTTATTTGACGTATGCATGTGGGAGGTAATGCATACGCGAGTAAATGCATACGCAAGTAAATGCGGTAAGCTTATATGACAATCTTCTAAACATAAAAAATGATGAATCGATGTGAGGCTAAATTTTCATTTAACATTGAAGTGGGGCTTCATAGCAGCCAGTTTTCCTATGGGTATGTGTTTTCACGACTTGGCACTCCTTTACTGTTGTGAAACCATTTTGGCAAGTGATTACATGCAAACAAATATTCTAAACAGGTGCTTTCACTGTTTAGCACCCCTTTACTGCAATGAAGCCACCTCTACATGTGCTATATGCGGGTTAATGTAAATATATTTGTTCATCTTGAATACTTCGAAGTTTTCAATAACTATAAGTACGAGTCGAAGCAAATTCGAATACTCTGCTTTTGTTTCAATATTCGAAGCATTTGAAGCACATGCCTAGTAAATATGTTATGGACAACCTACTTGCCCAAGAAATTGCACGTAAGAGTTAAATTTTAAAACTTTAAACACGCCTTACTGAGGTCCAGACATCTTCCAGAGAATGTATTTTTGAATAGATAAATAAAAAAACGTAAAAGAATAGACTTTGTGAAAATGAGTGGAGCCCACATATGATGCTTCTGTACTCTTTTAGCCTTGTTAATATGAATGGCATAAGTGTGAACAGTACTTTGACGACACTACTTAAAAGGGCCCTGCAACACATTTCTGAGGAGTAATGGAATAGATCACCTCAAGAACAGCCCGCTGCAAAAATTTTTAGAATTGATCCAGTTCGAGCAGAGTTAAAGATTTGTCGCACAGGTGCAATTGCATTCTCTCTTCTCTCATCCTCCGAAAGTGCTGGAGCTAAACAGAGAGGCATGGCAAGGGGAAGAAGACATGTTACATGCACTTTATGACATTGAGCACTTCTTCATTGTTTTAACTGTGGGTTTTCAGTGCGATCAGCTGCACACATGGGGACAGGTCGCAGCATTTCACAGCGGTCCTAGTAACTCCTGAGCGCCATGATACTTCAGCCTATGACAGAATGATTGTTTAGTATATAGGATCATTTGACAGAGAAAGAGAGAGCAAATTTTAACTGACTGAGAATTCATTGTGGATTCCAGGCCGCATGCTGCGCTCCAATATCTAGCTCGCATGTTCTCGGAAGACTGCTACCAATCTGCAGCGTTTTCGGACCATGCTTCAAAAGTGTTGCGGGCCCCTTTAAACACAATGTAGTCTGTATTTTGAATGCTCAGCTGCACTGATCAACCGGATAAAATTATTCAAGCTTGCCATGCTTTACAGCGGATTATTTATTTAGCCTTCACGACTTAGCACCCCTCTACCGCAGTGAAACCACCGCTAGAGGGGCAGCCACCATGCATGTCAATTTGCTAGTCGACGACACAAGCGTCTCCTATGATTTTGATTAGCAGGTGTAGGGGGTATTATTTGTGGTTTTCTATTCAAGTGCAATTGTGAGAGGAAGGGCAACGATAAATTTGCTCGGTGCTGGTGGGAATCAAAGCCACAATCTTTACACATGTGCTGCCCTGCAAGCTGAGCTACACGACAGCTGTTCCCCTGTTCACTTTCTTGGTTATTATTATATGTGAAAGAGCTGGGAGTGAAGTAATATTGAAAGATGAGCTAGTTGCTATGAGTGCATCGTAACTTATTTTTAGCGCACACTGACACACGGAGAAAGAAAAGAAGGGTACTACACTAGCGCTACCATCAACTGAAGGTTTTATTCAGAAAACGAACATTTATATATCAATGTAGTCACCCCCGCCCATGCGCAACGTCGCAATTTCAAATCCATGTCTTCTAAACCATGCAGGCTGCTGACGCATTTGGCGTTACACTGTACAAAGTGTGGATGCGCGGCACACTTTTCAAATACAATCATTTCGTTTAAGCACCATGATCGCAACGCAGGAGAGATCGCGGAGGCATTTCACATCAACATTAGGCAATCGTCCTGTATCAGCCACCCGTCAGTGACAATTTTCGAAAAAGAAGTGTCACTGCTAAAGCAAATAATGAACACATATATGGTACGATAGACATGAATTTGAACGAATTGAACACGATGGTGCGCATGGGGCAGGGGGTGACTACATTGATATATAAATGTTTCTTTTCTGAATAAAACTCTTGATAGTAGCGCTGCTGTTGAACTCTTCTTTTTTTTTTTTCTCTGTGTCAGTGTGTGCTAAAAGTGAGTTACGATGCAACCTGGGAGTGTTGGCAGTGCCACCAGTGGATATTGTAGCAAATGTGAAACATTCTTTTTGCCAGATGGAGCCGCATAGCATGCTGTGGAGTGAAACATTTGTGCAGTTGCATTTGTTTACCCAGCAAAGAACATGGCCATCATACATAAAACTTACCGTGGCGGAAAAAAAGAGTGGCTCCATCAATTGTCCATGTGCACATTTATTCAGGAACGTATGTCATCATCGCATGCATCAGTTTGTGTGTAGTCCTTCAGGTGTTATGCAAGATTGCGAGCATTGTGGGTGGTCAAAAGCTTGAAAAATTACTTGTCATCTGATTAAGTATAAAAAATGTGCCTGCTGTCCCCGAGCGCTTTTTGTAGCATAAATATGTGCTTTCGGTGCTATTCACAGAGGCGAACAGGGGCCCCTGTTGTACATGCTGGCTCCGTCAGATACGGAAATGCATCGGAGCAAATTCCAGTGGCTACTCAACGTCAATCTCAAGGTGAATGTTTATTGTTAAATTCGAACCTCGGTGACCTGTAGGCGCGAACAATTCAGTGAAAGTGCTAAAATGTTTTTTTAAAGAAGTGAAAAATTTATATGCCCAGAATACCTTATGAACAACTTTGGTAGTGAGTGCTAAAGACAAGTGTATCACTAGTGTATGCACAGCAATTGAGTGGGGTTCTTAATGTAAATTAGTGTGCCCAGCGAGGAGTCCACTTGAATTTTTAGTAACCGCAACTATGCTAATATTAAGCAGCTCTGGCAATTTTTCAGTGACCATCGATCTGAAAAAAAAGAAGATGTCAGTATTCACAGTACTAAACTCATGTTGTGTGCATAATTGGAGCTCGATAGGTGTGTCCAGTTTGATGCTATATTTTGCTGCTCTATTTGTACACTTTGTACAGAACGAATAATTATGCCTCACTTGTACCAGTACGAGAAAAAACGGTGGAATGCATGAGGTTCCCACCCTGCCGCCGGTGGTCCAGTGGCTAAGGTACACGGCTACTGACCCGCAGGTCGCGGGACCGAATCCCGGCTTCGGCGGCTGCATTTTCAATGGAGGCGAAAATGCTGTAGGCCTGTGTGCGCAGACTTGGGTGCGCGTTAAAGAACCCCAGGTGGTCATAATTTCTGGAGCCCTCCACTGCGGCGTCTCTCATAATCATATGGTGGTTTTGGGATGTTAAACCCCACATATCAATCAATCAAGTGCTTTAGGTTCTTTGTGACAAATGTGAGCGCTAGTGTTTTCTTTTATCACTTCATTAAATGGTTTCCCTTTTTTTTTTTTCTGTAGGGCTGGCTCCCGCAGTACATAATCGACAAAGCGATGGCCAAGAGCATGTTTGAGTATGCTGATGCACTCAAAGCCCATCTCATCAGCCTCGAAATGTCTCCCGAGAACATCTGAGGCAGTCATCACATCCCTCGAACCGTGTTGTTCAGCGTTTAATATTTTTTTTATAAGATCACATATGTCAAAGTGATAAAAATTTTATATTGGTTTGATGATGCTTCAACTGTCTTATATACTAATTTACAGCCAGTAGACCGCTAGTCGCACAGTTGACATAGATTAAGTCAACTTTTGTGATATTTTTGTGCATATAACCTGTATCCCTACCTTCAACTCTGCAAGAACAAACAAAAAAAGCCTAAAACCTCTGCATATAACCTGCAGCCCCACTTATTCAGTATAATTTTCTGTTTTTATATGCAGAAAATATAGTACTAATTCAATCTCAAATTCCCAGCTACCACTTATATGTTTCTATGGGACCAATGTTTTATTAATTAGATATCAAAATTAGCATTTGCTGATAAATTTGGACATCACTGTTAATACTGCTCAAGCTTGCCCCAGTGGAAAATGCATCAATGTTTTCAATACTAGCAGCGTTCAACCTTTCAGAGCTTGGAGTGAAGTGAATGCATCAAACACACCATCTACCATCGAAACTGCTTATTTTTATCTATTTGCATCAAGATGATGCAGATTTGTGGAAGCAAATGTAAAAAGATGACATAGAGAAGTGTATGTCTTCCATATTTTTCACATATTCTACACTAACTACTCCATGTGTTGATATGCAAAATGGCCCTTCCACAATTATTTACTATACTTTAACACATTATGCCCAGTTTAAGTGTGCTATTGCTTGAAAGATCGGATTATGCCAAGACAAAAAAAATAAGTCCCAAAATTTAAGCAAAAATTTATATGCACACGAACTATTGTGCAAAACTGCAATGAACTTTTCTTAAATTGTAGTATGCATAGAAAAAATGAGCACGTATGATAAAAGAATGCAATTTTAAATAATACTAATAAATGACTTCCTGCACTTGTCTGTCCATGCATGGTTATAATTCAACTCTAGTACCACACTTTCTCCACTGCATGTTCCAGTATAGTACCATTTTTTTGTTTTCTGTGCCAAATTAAAGTTATCATTCCCATCCTATATATTGGTGACTTCATTTCCATCAAGCTGCTGCAATAAATTCTCGGCAGTCCATTGGTCCTATTAAAATTTGAGCACTTTTGGACGTTAAACCCACAAGTCAATCAATTAAAATTTGAGCACACACTACTTATAGGATTCATATGCACTTTAAGCAATTTTATTATTTTTTTTTCTGTTGGTGATACATTTCTGAGTAAGCTTGCTCAAAGTGCCCCCATAGAATGTGGTCACCAGATTCACATACATTACAACAAACCTCTATCATGCAGCTCTGAATATAGTTTCCTACAATATTTACTAGAGGAAACTCTGGTGCTGCAATCGTTCAGCCACCACGGGAATGATGGATAGTACATGGATACGCCCAATCTTCGATAGGCACTTGTGGCTTTGTTTGTTGTAGTGCTTTGGCGTTAGTTTCAGATAAGAGAATGGATTGCTGTGAACATTGCGAGCCAATTTGAATTAGTGAGCCTAACAAGGTCGAAATGGCGAGTGGAATTGCTGAACTTCGTCTTGCAACAAAGTGAGCGCATGCCCCTAAGAAGCTAGATGAATGAAGTTTAGGCAAATCTGTGTACTATTCACCATTCTCGTACTGGCTGAGGTACCATAAACACTAGCAACAGACTTTCTTTTAGTGTATTTATAGGAAACTTTATGACTCTAAGTTCACTTTTTCCTATTAGTGGTAGAGCGTCAGTGAATCTATAATTATATACAGAGAGTTCATTCAGAAAATTTCTTAGGCTTTTATTTTGATCTGTAGAGGGATCACTATATTAGCATAAATAGTGCAAGTATTGTGACAGCGTGTCTCAACTTTTGGATGCAGCTTGAGCAGCAAAAGTTTCCTGGATCTTCTTGTCCATGGTTTCAACAATGGCTGCAAAGCACAAGAGGAAGACAGTCATTGAGTCGAGTCATAATTTCACAATGAACAAGATCAAGATAAGTTGTGTGATTAAATTACATTCTTGGTATCGCACTAAAATCTGATGGCTATACTGAGCCACGCAACTCAGTTTCTTAACAATCCGTAAAGATGGATAACATTGGTTTGCCGTGAAAAGAAATCTATCTCAAGCTCGCTAGGGGTCTGAAAGTGACACAGCAGCACAACGTTTTCTTATTAAAATTAGGTACATGGAAGCATCGAATTAAAGAAAATTAAACATAGCTGAATTACTTTATTTGTATTCACTGCTACATTTATCCAAATCAAACCCATCAAACCAAATAGTCATGCTTGTACCCCAACTGCTCGGTCACTGTAAAATCCTTTACACAAGGACATCTGGAGAGGAAAGGCGTTGATGCCCAGTGACGCACGATGATGAAGTATCTCCCTTCTGGCAGAGTTTCTTTGAAGTAAGCCAAATCTAGTGTTTTTAATGTAAAAGGTGTTGTCTTGCACACAATGCACCTTTTCGGAGAAGGCTCCCTGGGTCTGGTCATAGTCCCCTCTGGTGCTGTGCGTAAATGTCATGCGCGACTCCCCAAAACTGGCCACATTCATCTGAGGAACTGGAGCAGAGGCTACTAACCACCTAAAAAACCTGTTGTTAACGTAACTTTTTCTACAGAAGGTGCCTCACGTGACAGAAATACTTCACACCCATGAGTAAGCGGAAATAAAAGTGAAAAAAAAAAATAAATTGCGTACTTATGCAGTGAATGGTACACATTTCCACATACCTTCTCGAAGTGCTACCTTCTCTTGAGCACCTTTCTGTACTTTCTCCATTTGGTGTGTGATGTACGCGATCCCGCCGCTTAAAGTAATCCTTGGATTCACTGATGTCCTGAAAAGCAGTCACACGAGACAAAATTGTACAAAAATCAATTCTTTGAAAGACTCTGGTTGTATTAAATAGAAAAAATAAATGCCTCAATCATCTTTAACTCGTTGCAAAGCATGGTGTATGTAGGGGCTTATACGTTACACTGTATGGCAGAAAAGTTTCGTTGGCAAAAGAAAATCAATATTTTCCTGCGATTTTGGTTCACAGCTGCATTGCGTTGCCAGGTATATGTAATTCATAACGTACCTTTTCCACTAAGTAGCCAGTTCCAATCTCAACAGTGACTTTGTTGACATCCACAAGCCTACCAGGTACATACATCTGGACAATTGCAAGTAAAGGAAAGCTTGGTACAGGATGTGCTTATGCTGCTTACATGCCAGTGTTCCTATGAATTGTTCATGAGCTTTACAAACAGGCTCATTTCTATTTTAACAAAAATTTCACCGAACTTCAAGAATAAAACAAGTCAAAATTCTTTTCATAATAAATCTTTTGCTTGTTGGTTTCTGATTATGCCATAGGAAATATTGTCACTAGGAATGAACATCTGATGAGGTCTTTGCTTCAAACAAGTTTCAATTCCCGAAGTCGATAAGTTACTGAAAAAAAGAAAAAAAAAAGATCACTGACAAAGTTGACCAGCGCAGGTTCGACAAGTGTGGTGTAATTAACATGCGTTACGTTGCGAAGCGCTTCGACAGACGAGGGTAGTAGAAGCTTTCACATCATGAGCGATATCAAGGATACGGAGCTTGTCAAAGGCACAAGGATTTCTTTTCCTTCGCACGAGGGTTTCAGCATATCCAGGCATTCTTCTGACTCTTCGAACTTCGTTTGCGCAGCTCTGAGCTGCTGCAACGAGGTACTGAAGAAATCGAGTTCCTGTAAAGGGTGAACAAACAGACACATTCGTACAAAAGAACAGGCAGTCAGGTGTGCAATGCGCCCACTCAAAAACTGTTCACCTTACAGAACGCAATACGACTGCGAGATTGCTCACGTATGAATATTTTTTCTCTATATTTACGCCAGACATTGCCAAGAGAAATCTACGCGCACATATGTGGTAACTTATGCAACAACAAAATTTATAAGCACTTTCCAATGATGGCTGAACTGGTTAGCTGACAAAGCGAAGTAGTCGGGAGACGTCCGTCCCGTCAACTTCGTGGGGAAGGTCCGTTCTTTCGCTCGGGGAGAATTTCGCACAGAAAATTTAATCTAGATCGAACATTTGTTAATATGAGCAATTCCTTGTCGTTTAAAACGGTATAAAAATTTCACCCCGCTTCTTGGTACTTAGTCTCGACACTGTACTGTTCGAACTTATCACCTGCTCAATATGCTGTTTCAGCTGTGCAAGGGCACCGATGTCAAGCATGGAGATGGAAAGCACGTTTTGCTTGTCGCCAGACATTGCTCAAGCGTAGGCAGTCACCGCACCAAACACAACACAGCACGAGATGACCAACTCCCCTGTGGAGTGGAGGCTACGGACGTAGGCTATTTATGTGACAGCGGTTTACGTTGGCTTCGACTGCAACTAAACCGAAACTGGATAAATAATTTATGTGCACAGGTTGCATCATTTCAAATTGTTATTAAACTATTAAATTTGTCCCTAAATTTAAATGTTTAGTGATACAATTTTGAAAGGTTTTTAGTTTGATTGAAGCTTTGAGTTCAGTTAGAACCATCGAACAAACCTCCCCACAAACTTTGCCGGGTTGTTTTGGTTCCGTGCGGGTGTGTTCAAAACGGCCTGCGGTCGCCTGCCCCGTTCTGAACCTATGCTCGTACAAAGATTCACGGTGCTAGTATGCTGTGCTGTATTTGTCGGCGTACTATCGTTGCTCGTCTCTGCGACGGAGCCATATCCTACATGTCCTGGTGCAAATAGGCCGTCACAACCGTGTTCAGCCTCCGTGTCCAAAGAGACCCTGCCACGGTACGTTTTGCGTCACTGTGATTGCTGCTCTCTGGAAATGTTTTCAACTTTTATCAACACGCTGTCGGGCCAGTCGGGCAAATTGGTTCACGGAGTTTGAACAGCTAAGTGCGCGAAATAAAGCTGCACGTGAAAGAGGTAGTCCGCGGAATGACGGGAGTGAAAAAAGCATGTCATAGCTCAAACAGAAAATTACGCTTTTCACAGTGGAGCTGTCGTAAGCTTGAAGCAAGGCCGCATCGCGTACGCAACAACTCGGGCGTGTATGAATGAATGCGTGGTTTTTGAATAGAGGAAAAAAAAAATCCTATTTCTGTACACGGTGCAGTACCTCGTGTATGCGCCGCAGAAATTGGCCAAGCTTCTCTACCGAGCAGAGCAGGGGCGAGGGGAAGCGAAGTCATTAGAGGGCGAGAGCGGAGCGAGAAAAAGTGATGGGGAGCGATGGGCAGGGAAGTTGCAGCCTGGTATGGGAGAAAGTTAAGCCTGGTGAACGAGGAGGGCTGAGTCAAGGAGGAGGAGGGAGCAGGATGGCAAGTTGGGCCAGTTGGATTACGTTCATAATTGAAAATTTTGTTGAAGCGCGCCAAAAAACAGATGGACAAAAGAGGCTGACAAGGACAGCGCTTGCTTTTTTTATATATATATATTACAAGTACTAAGTGTCGAGATACGGGTATTCTTTATCATTCAGCACAATCTTAGCTTGGCTAGCACAGTCATGTCCCCTCTTTCGGATGTGGTAAGATTCCACTATCTCGCGTGTTAGAATACGCGTATTTCGACGCCTAGTACTTGTAAAATATAATAAATGACATATTATGTACAATTTTTGTAACCCTGACATGAGTGGTTTCTGTTGCACCCTGTTCATGATGCACATGCACGAAAGCACTTTCAATACCTTTCTGACTAATAAACTTTCAGTTGTGAGAAGCAAGCAGCTGTCCTTGTCAGCCTCTTCTGTCCGTCTGTTTTTTAGTGCGCTTAAAACAAAAACTCAGCTTGGCAAAGTGCAGAGGAGGAATATTTAAATAAACGGAATCGAAATGTCGAGGCGGAATGCGAGCCCTGGTGCCCAGGGCCAGAGGCAAGTGTCATAACCACTCGGCTATCCAAGTATGGTAGCTGAACAAACATTTATGGAAAACGTACTGATTGCTCTGCTATTGACAAATTAATTATGTAAAGATAGCGGGAAAGTGAAAGATAAGATTATGAAAGACAGAGATAGAAGAAAATGGAGATAGACAATGAAAGAGATGGGAAAAGAGAGATCATAGTAAAGAGGCATAGTAGCCAGGACTAGCTGACCAAGACTGTGAGCCCACTTTTGGCTGAAAATGGGGCAAAACACCGTCCTGCAAGCAAGTGGCGGTACAGCGGGACCCCAGTCAGAAAACCGGGACACGTCCCGCCTAAATTGGGACATCTGGCAACATTACATAAGCGAGCTCTAAAAGACTGTTTCGCAAAAAGGGGGCAATCTATTCGCTGAAACCTGTGTTTTTATACTGGCAACCATCTTTGATAAATAGCAGCGAATATTCCATGCATGACTGAACGTTATTTGGCCACTAATAGGAGCAGTAAAATCAATGGTATTTCTTTCAATACATCACCAATGTCTCCTTGAAACAGAAACTAGCAAAGCCTGGCCTAGCACTCAGCTGCCAGTGCCACAGAAACTGCATGGCAGCTCTACGTATTCAATTCTTTACGTTTAAAACACCAATCAAGGCAGATAGGGTGTACAATAGATAATCCTGATATTATTTTATACAAGCAGAACTCCTTTCAAATAGAACACATTTTACAGCCTGTTAAGTTTCCTTTAACAAAATGCTATTGTGGCCTAGTTTCATGTTCTACCATAAAATGCTGAGCAAGTCCCCCTTCCCGCTTAACGGTGGAGGATAATCTGACTAGATTTGGGAGGGGGGTGCTTTCATGGTGGCCGTAGAGCTGCTAAAAATAAAAAAGGCCCAACCATGTTTCTAGTCATATTCTTTATTTATAGATTATTTCATAAACAACATTAGATATACATTCAGTGTACTCATTCTTCTGATTCTTACACAAGCGATGCTCGTATTGAAAAAAAAAAAGTGGCCGCAGGGTAAGTGGGGGGGGGGGGGGGGCACTTGTTAGGCATTTTATGGTAATGCAGCCCTGGCACTAGAAAAGGAACGTTCACTTTTACAAGTACACTGTGAGCTATACGCCCAGTCCTCTGTAAAGTGATTGCAGTCTGGTTTTCTTGTTGCAGGAAGTATCTCATGCATGATGTCAACCCTGGTGAGGGTTTCAACTTGAGAAGAGATGTCTACATGAGAGTAGCCAGGCTTGTGGCTGCACTTAATGCAGATTCGCAGCGTGAAGAATGGGTGCTTGTTTTGCCACCATGGGGTCCTTTGTATCATTGGCAAAGCAAAGATATAGGTTCACAAATGAAGATCAGGTGGGAACGATTTTTCGATATAAAAAGCTTAGCAGGCTATGTGCCTGTCATGGAATTTGAAGATTACATCCACAGTAAGTAGGGCTGTATGTTCACTTCTTTTAAAAGTGATGGGACGTTTTCATATTTGCTTGCTTGCTTTTTTTTTTCAATAAATGAAGTTGTATTCCTTGAAACCATAGGAAAAATAGTGGCAAGCTTGACAACTCTCAAAATAATTTACCATAACAGTTTTTTGGTTTCAAAGGAGGTGCATGTGTGATGATCTGGCACAGAAAGTAGTCAAATAAGAGCAGAACATTGAAACATTTTGGCACTTGCTTTAGCTTGACGGTCTATTGGTTCATCTGCTATGTTGCTTATTGTTTATGTTTAGCCCACTGTTACAGCATATTAGGGCACTGAATAAATGAGTTTCTTATAGAGTAATTGTGCTAAAGATCCCCAACTTCTCAAGACTGCTACAAATCATTACGTCAGCTTTCATTAGAGCCAGTGCAAAATGCACACCATGTGCAGCATGGCTTAAGAGATGAAAAAGGAGACTATTTACATCATTGAAGTTCGACGTGAATCTGCTGGATCATGCTGGACATTCTATAAACGTAACTCCTCCTAATGAGAACACATTTTGCCATCTTGTAGTCCGCACAATGGCGGTGGGCTAGCCTCGATTCCCACAATCTATAAAGTCTCTCTCTAACAAAGTTCCACAGTAGTCCAGTTTTATGTTACAATGCCATCAGTGGTTCATAGTACCAAGCAACTACTGTTACATACATACATCACTGTACTACCAAAAGATTTTCACATTGAGAGGTTGATATTACAAATGAAACATTTAAATGGTACAGTTGAGAGCTTTTATTGATGGGTATCACTGCATGACACTTAATCATTGAAATAGGCAGACTGGCAAGCTATTTAGTTGGTCGTGATACCTCGAGACTGCCAGCTCTTCTTTAGCTGACATAAATGGTTGCCTTTTACGTGCCTAAAGCTGCGTTGTAGTTCGTGCACATTTTGAATTGGTAGCATCGCAGTTGGTGTAATGGTTTGTCTCACTCTCAGAAAAAATTTGCCTTTACATTGCAACTATGGTGCTGACAGCCACCTGTGGAGGTTTGAAAGATAAAGCGCACTCTCAAAACAAACGAGCACAGCAAGCACGGCCGAACAAACTAGCACATGTACGTTTATTCACTTGCTTTAAAAATAACAATATCACCAACCGAATCAAATACGTCATTAGTGACTTGCAAAAAAAACCTTAGACAATATTTCAATCCTCAAGCAACACTCCAGCAAAATAACAAGGTACCGCAGATGCGGTGTCACCAACACTATGAGGGATCCTCGGGAGACGACCCGCTGTGCCGTCCCCATAGACCCACCCCAGGAGACATTTGTCCACACCAGCCGCCAAACCTCAAAGAAGCTGGCTACTTTATTCCATGCACTAGACTAGCCTCTCCGCCTCTTGCAAAGGCAGCGCTACTGCAGGCGGCGGAGTCTTAACTCCCACGAGCACAGCACCACCTCCCGCTTGACAACCATTAGACCTAAGTGGAACTACTCTGCCAGATGCATGTGCGTCGTGAGGTGCAAATGACTGTACAGGATGTGACAGCACCCCTACACACCTCAGAAAGGAGAAACTTGCGCTTCTCTAACTCATATTTTCTTTATTTTTGTACAACTTTCTTTATTGAAAAGCCTATTGTGTTTATGCCTAAACCTGTCTCACTTTTACTGTGCTGTCTTTCTTTCAAGGCATAGGACGCCTTATTGACAAAGTATTCTACCTGCAACATTATCCAAGCACATTTACCTCGTCCAACTGGGTTGAAAAATATGAAGAGGGTTCATGCCTGGAGGAGACTGGCTACTTTGAAGAGAGCAATGGCGAATTCACTGGCTGGTTTTGGGGCTACAACGATGTTGTGAGCAAGGAAATTTCTTGCCTTTATGTCCAGGGCTCTGGCTCCACTTTAAAGCCACTGCTTCAAGAACATTCAAACCACACGTACGTAATATCACAGGGTTTTCGTATTAACAAACGTTTTCTCACAAGCTCAGCATACGAAGGAAGGACATGGAGTGCACTCAAATGAAAGCAGCTTACAAGTACGGCACATGACAGAAAAGGCATCACACTTGGACATATAAAATTACCTTATATGAACTCTATTGCTAAACTAATCACTCAGTGATGTGTTGTAACTTGACACGAAGTCATTTGCACAGCTCCATAGACAGTCACTTGTGCTCCCTTGTATTCTTTGGAAGAGTGGTCGCGAATATGACATTTGGCTAGTAAATATTTTATATTTTTTAGGTGTTTTGACTGGCTTGAATGCGACGTCCTCTTCCCCATTTTATTTTTTTCTCTCTCTATTGCAGTTCCATCATGCTAGATCGTGCTGAAGTTATGCTCCATGATAATTTCGGTGACCCAGATTATTGGGAGGTTAGAATTTGTTTGTGGCTTTTTATCTCTGCATGGCCGAATTGCACAGCCTATAATGTGATTTGTTATGGCCACCTATTTGCTATGTGCCCCGGTGACAGGAACATCATTCTATTTCCTGTTATGCTGTATTTTGCTTTATATAAGATAAGTTCAAATATCGTCCTGTTCAAGATCAAGAGATAATGCAGCCTTATTAACAAGCTGCATCATGCTCACATTTTTCTTATCTTTATTTTCACCCATTATCGTTAGGAAATGGAATACTAGTGGTTTTAAACCAGATCATATATGTAACAAATAGTGATAAAACAAGATCACATGCAAAATTATAGGCACGTAAACTAAATAGAATTAAACTTGAATTTAATAGTTGAATATTGGTTGTATAGTTTACAAACAGATAGCTTTCTTACCTTTAATATCTCAATTTTTTTCATACTGGTACCAGAACATTATAAAGCTTTTATCATGTGAATGGCAGTGGGAGTTGTCATGGTTCTGCTTCGATTTAATGCCTGATCTTGTGTAGCAAACAATGTAAAGAATTCAAGGATATCTGGATCTTACAAGTAGTAGCTCGTATTCATCTTGAGGACCTAATGGAGTGTGATTATTTTATTTGAGAACCAAGATTTTAGAACAGTATTTCGATTAAAATATTTTGAGTGTTTGCACATTTCTACTCTATATCCAGGTTTAAGCGATGTGATGCATTATGTAGGCAATGAAAGACACACATATGCTAAGCAAAAAGTATGCAGTGTAGTAGTAGTAATAATAATAATAATAATAATAATAATAATAATAATAATAATAATAATAATAATAATAATAATAATAATAATAATAATAATAGGGGTTTTACATCTTGAATCCTCGATATAATTATGAGGAAATTTTGATCATCCGGTGTTCTTTAATGTGGACTGACCTGACGTCGCACAGTACAGAGACCTCTAGCATTTTGCCACTATGGAAATTCGACATCTATGATCGAACCTACAATCTTGGGGTCAGCAGCCGAGCGCATTAACTGCTGATCCACCGTGGCAGGCCATTTGCATGAACTAGTAGTGGCACTATGGCTATGGTATACTTCTGCTGAATGCTTGATTACTGGTTCAATTTCTGGCCATAGCAACTGCATTTCGATGGGAACAATGTGAACAATGCTTGTGTACGCAATTCAGGGAAAGTTTCAGGAAACCCAAGGGGGCCAGCACATAATCTAGAGCCCTTGAATATGGTATTTCTCACAATCAATGTAGGTGTTTTGGGACATTAAATTCATTCATTTTGTTCTCTATAACTGCTGTTTCTAATGACAGGTGGGCTTGTATTTTCCACAGTGAACCTTTTGTAAATGCCAACGGTTGTGTTCACATTCATTCCTCGCAATTTCTGCATTGGTTTCCTAAAGACAGAAAGATAAATAATCGACTTTGTTCCATCAGGAGGGAATTATTGGGGACAACCTCTCAATCCCTTGCTTAACACAGCGACATGTATTAGCTCTGTGTCTTTCAGCTGCCATAGCATTATGCCATTCAGCTCGAGGTCACAGTCTTTATGTTGGCCACAGTAACCTGTACCTCAACGAGAGTGAAATGCAAAAACATTCTTAAATTTAGGAGCTTACCTCAGGGACTTGGTATTATTCCAGACTCTGCCACCATAGCATGCCTCACGACTATATGATAGATTTGGCTTATAACAATAGAATTCAATTAGTTTATTCTTTAACCATTGCAAATATATATTATGAGAACCGGATTCGTATGTATTAATTGAAGAAACTGTTCTACTGTGTCGGAAGGCTAGAAAACTTTATTTTCTGCTTAATTTCCTCCTTCTTCTGCTATGCCCAAAGGAAACTGCTGCACTAACCTTTAATAAAGTTTATTCATTCATTCATTACTTCTTGCATGCCATTACACACCAGCTTATATTGAGATGCTGGTGCTAATAATGCTGCGGGGAGTTACGCTAACTTTGACATGTGGCATACTTAATTTTCAGACTTATGGGCACTTTCTCTGCTTTTTCATGCATGTACAGATAAGGCGAAGCATGCGCTTCTCCAAGAGACTTCGTGATGTGGGAGACACGTTTCGCCGAGATAGCCTGAATTCGGACGACAAAAGGGACAGCACAGTGCTCGACGAAGACTGGAAAGTTGTCCCCAACAGTACAGGCCATGCCCTAGGCGGCCCATACCTTGCAGTTCATCTCAGGCGCCAGGACTATGTGAAGAGCCGTCCCAAAGATGTCCCTGACCTCAAGTGGGCAGCAGAACAGATCAAAGTGCTGCTTGAGAAGCAAGGCCTGAAGAAGGTGTTTGTTGCAACTGACGCAGGAGATGAAGGTAGAAATCTGGCGGCTATCTATTATTGCCCAGCTTTCCTCCTCACTCTCTGGCTACAGTGTCCGAACTTCGTGTTCACTTTCGTCTTTCACTGAATTCGTTCTCTCGGCTATCTGGTGGCCTTGTGGGGCCCTCTGCTTACCTCCTCACATGTTTGCCATCTCTCAGCACTCATTTGATGGTACCATCCACTTTCAGGGAAATGAATCAATTCATTTTGTACTACATTATCAGTAGTAGGCTGTTGCTTAGCAAATGAATATTTATTTTTTTTTCATGGCTGGTTTCAAGTAATGTATATGATGTTGCATTGCTGACATGTCTGAATGTTTCATTCGTGCCTACTGTTTCAATTCCTTGCCTTTTTCTCAGAATTCCAGACACTGAGAACATACCTCCCTGAGGCTGTGCGGTTTGAGCCCAGCAAAGAATTCGTGGAGAACTCAAAGATGGTGGGCTAGCAATTGTTGATCAGTGGATAGCAGCACATGCAAGGTAAGCATTGAGTTGACTATGCTGTAGGTTAGGCCAGACACACATATTTTTATGTATAGCTCTTACTGTAACTTTTTTTTTGCGCTGCAATGTTTAAGGGCAGATTTGTTTTTTATTTTGGGGTCAAAGCTAGTCTGTTATGCCAAAACCTTAATACTGAAGCGTTCACAGTGATTCTGCTGTTGTTAGTGATGTTTAGGAATAGATGTGATAGTGTAAACATTTCCAGATTGAAAAAAAAAACAATGTTGGTTTGTGCAAAAGAGCAGATATAGAAAGCGTGCCAGTTGTATTCTGTCACATCTCGTTACATATGTCTTTTTGCATTTTTTTCACATTGCCTGAAGCTTAGCTCGTCTGTGTGATGAATGCTGGGAGTTCGATTGTGGTAAATGGCTACAATGAAGAATCACTCGAAGAAGGGATTTGGGTTTCGTAAAATTCCGAGCAAGCACCCCCACCCGTACAAGTGCACCCCCCTCCCCCCAACTTCACTGGCAATTTCAAATATCCGTGCCGTTTTGGGAAAGCCCCCCTTTCCACTGCTCCATGACAACACGTCCAGGTAACAGTGGCCTGCCACATCCAGTTGACAAAAAAAAGTTTCCGTAAATTTTTCTACAAATATTGTTTTTGTTTTTTGGTGGTCCTGCTGGCTGCCATCAATCCAACCCAATCCACACCAATCCAGTCCTGCTTTGCACTGCAGCCCGATTGCTTTGCGCCATTTGTTGCTTTGTGTTTGCAGCGAAAGGTCAGCTATGCCTGTGCAGTCCTACACAGTGGCGAAGAAAATCGAGGTTATTTGATGGCACTGAGAAAACAGAAAGAACGTGCATCAGACGTCTAGACATTACAAGCTCGATCGAAAGCAGATACGGAAAAGAGAAAAAAATTTCGACAATTTGCTGCGGCGAAACTACGGGAAGGCAAAACTTCGACGGAAGCTCAGTAACGTTACACCAGTGTTCAGCGAACATGTGGACGATGCGCTCTTCGAGTACCTTGAGCGGGAAAGAAGTGCAGGACGTGCCATCAGCAATAGGATTCTTTCCGAAGAGGTCGTCGAAATTTCCAACAGCAATCAGTTGGGAAGCTTGGAAGCCTCCAGCTATAATATAAATCGCTGGAAACAGCAGTTCGGCATTGCAATGCAGAAGGCTGAACAAGCGGAATGCTGTGACCTGTTTTTTGCAACTGGCTCAGAGGAGTATTTCGATTGTCTTGAAAACAGTTAAACATTACAATAAATTTTGGGTCTAAATAAAGTTCACTGTAATAAAATTTTAGTGCATGCTCACTAGGGTTTTTTTTTTTTTTTTTTTTTCTCTGGTGTGAAAGTTTTGTGGCCATCTTGAATTATGGTGCCATTCCCCCCATCATTTGCAGACAGTTTCGACTTCGGGTTGGGGGCACTTGCTTGAAATTTTACAGTATGTCTTAGTTAAATAAGTGTCGCCCCGACACGGTTGTCTAGTGGCTAAGGTACTCGGCTGTTCACCTGCAGGTCGCGGGTTCAAATCCCGGCTGTGGCGGCTGCATTTCCGATGGAGGCGGAAATGTTGTAGGCCCGTGTCCTCAGATTTGGGTGCACGTTAAAGAACCCCAGGTGGTCGAAATTTCCGGAGCCCTCCACTACGACGTCTCTCATAATCATATAATGGTTTTGGGACGTTAAACCCCACTTATCAGTCAGTTAGTTAAATAAGTGTTGGGTGTTTAAAAACAATTATAATATGTTTGTTGCTACGTCATTAAAGTCGGGAAATTGATGGAGCATATTGATATTGGAGTTTTCTTCTTCCCTTATCAAAGAGGCAAGCACAGAGGTCTAAAAGCACTGCAATTTACACAGAGTAGTTCAATGTATACAAAAAACTCTAGGTTAGTTTATAGTGATGCAGTCATTCTTATTATTGTCATTGATTTTTCAATCATAGGCTCAATATTAGAAGATGATAACGACGGTCATTATTTAATCCTTGATAGCATGTCTGAACCTGATCATCTGAATTTCAATGACATCAGAAATTTGAAGTTTTTTTCAGCCTTTTTTTACTGTGGTATTCACACTTTGGCCACAGTGGCTCAACAACTTTTCTTCATACTTGCCATGTTAATTGTCTGGTTCATTTAGACCTTGATGCAATTCATCTTTACTAGGCTTGTGTCAATATCAGTGTTCTGATTCGTAGCAAAGTTGAAACAAATAGCAATCAGTATTCAGTGATTTCACAGCAACTACTGTATTTTCTTGCATATAACAATCACCAAAAAATGGAAAGCAGTGCCTAAAAAGGGGAGGGGGGGGGTATGTTTAACGGTTATACACATTTTCTTTTTCATCTTGTTGTTTAGGGGTTATACACATTTTTGTTTTCTTTTTGTAGAACTAAAATAAGGGTATAGGGTATATGCAGCAGCGGGTTCTATATGGGACAACATGGTAAACAGTTACACTTGCATAAGCCGTTGATACAACTGCCTGATGTCGAGAAAATTTTAAAGAGTTGTTTGTTCACTGTGTTATTCATACCACAAAATGCAGCATTAAATGTTACCTGATTGGCACCTTGTGTGTGGTAATATTGGAATTGAGGTAGTAAATTATGTTAAAATTCTGGGGGTTACGATTTCTACCGAACGCTGCCTATTTCGTTTGGTGTTTTTTGTGTGAATTTACGTTTTATTCGAGGATCATCGCTCTCCTGTGGGCAGCGATGGATCCAGGCCCCACCGTACGCAATCCGGACTTGGCGTCACCTTCGACGTCAACCTCAAGGAAGCGTAACAGCCGGGAGGACGACAGCACCAGTGACAGCACTGAACTGTACACGGCGAGTAGTGAAGACAGCGACGAAGATTTCATCCCTGCAGTGAAGCGTAAAGCTAAAAGAAGAATGGTCGGCGCGTCTTCGCCAGCTAGCGTCTCTACCGTGAAGGCGGCGTGCAGTTCTGAACGCCTTACCATACTTTTTGTTCCTGTCAACTCTTCGATCAACCTGAAGAACATGAACAGGCAAGTGATATCAGCGCGTCTCGAAGCTATCGTGCCTAATGAGATAAAGGATATTAGACTCAACCCACGGAAGAATATCCTGGCCATAGACGTTGAGCACCCGGCTGCGCTACATACCTTGCGAACTGTCACTGAGCTTGGAGGCATCTATCTCAGAACTTACATTCCGCAGGATAGTGACACGACGACAGGCGTCATTTATGACGTTGATGTTTCCATACCGAACGCAGACCTTCCTGTTCTGATAAAGTCAGCTACTGGGGCAACGGACATATTGCAAGTATGCCGGCGTGGCAAATCCCGTTGCATCAAGGTGACCTTCAAAGGTGATTGCATCCCATCACATGTAAAGGTTGGTCATTTTCGTCACGTTGTCCGACCATACATCCCAAGACCACTACAGTGCCACAACTGTCTAAAACTGGGTCATGTTAGTGCTGTGTGCAACAACAAGCAAGCATGCCCACGTTGTGCCGGACCCCACAAAGCAGAGGCTTGCCAAGCAACTCTCCTAAAATGCAGCAACTGCAACGGCAACCGTGAGACCTCGTCCAAAGACTGCCCAGTACTGAAGAAAGAGAGGAGCATCCTGAGACAAATGGTTAAAGACGGATCCTCACGAAAGGAAGCGGTAACGGTTGTTCTACGACGGCGTTCCCGTCGACGGCGGTGCTCGAAGAAAAGAAAAAGCAGTCCTGTGCCGAAGGTGCCTTCACTAACGCCGCCACCGCCACCGCCGCCACGACCACAGAGACCTCCACCGCCCCCGCCACCAGGTGGGGTACGTCCAGAGGTACCGGAAGACACTGTGGCGCTACAGAGAACATCCGGCTCTGACTGGCCCACTTTACCGCGGTTACACGTGTCTACGGAACCGCAATATCGACAGTCAACAACGAATATGCCCCCAGCAGGCAGTCTGTCCGCCCAAGAGGTACAAGTCTTTTCTGTACTGAAGTCGTTCATGAGTGTTATTCGCACTCTATTGGATAGTCTACAGATCCCTGCCGCTAAATGCGCGCTGCAAATCTTGGACACACTAGAACCAGTTCTTGCCGGACTTCAGTAACAAGATGGCGCACCATAGACCGCATCAGCCTTTCCGAGAAAGTGCTTCCATAATTCAGTGGAACGCAAGAGGTCTACAGTCAAGAATGCCTGAGTTCCGACAATTCATTTTCGAAAATAAGTTTCCCATCATCATCATTTGTGAACCGCATTTTTCAAAACTACCTCGTCTGTCGGGCTATGAATCGTTCATTTCTTCAACGTGCATTGAGCGAAGTCAAGTTGCTGTGTACATCCGTAAAGAACTCACTTATGTTCTCCAAAGAGTAGATTCTCACAATGGAAATCACTACGTGTGTCTATATGTTAAAAAGAAGAAGTTGTCGTTTACACTGATAGGCGCATATATAGCGCCGTCAGGTCGACTAGATCAACAAATCTTGAATGGTATATTTGCAACGACTCCAGCGCCTTGGATATTGATGGGTGACTTCAACGCCCATCATCCATTGTGGGGAAGCATCAGGACAAATCGAAAAGGCACGGACCTAGTTGATCTCGCATCAGAGCACGGGCTTCAGGTGCTGAACGACGGCAGCCCTACTTATCTCCGAGGAGTAACTTACAGCAGTTGCCTGGACTTGACATTAGTGTCGCATAGCATTGTCACGAAAGTCCAATGGTTCACAGATATTGAAACACGTGGCAGCGACCATATCCCCACGTACGTGACAGTCAGAGGTTTGGACGATTCTTCTTCCCCTGGACACTCAAGACTTATTGACTGGGAAGAGTTTCAGATATCAGTGGAGAGCAAGTGCATGCACGGACCACCGGAATCCATTGAAGAAGTGATTAGTTGTGCAATGGAGACTTCCACGAAGATATGTTCAAAAGAATCGAGACGCACGGCACTCGACCAAGAGTTGGAACAATTTAGAGCGGTCCGCCGACGTGCCGAAAGACGATACAGACGCACGAAATCTATCTCTGACCTCAGAGAATCCAGACGCATTCAGAAAAAAATCCAGCGTCGAATGCACAAACTTCATGAACAACGGTGGAAGAATTTTTGTGACTCGCTAGACCCTCGAAAGCCCTTGTCTCCCGTATGGAGGACTCTTCGAGGTATTCACTCGCATCCGCAACAGCGTCACCCCTTCGCCGCTCTGGCGCTACATCAACGTCGCTCACAGCTTGATGTTTCTGGGGAATTTTGTGCAAAGATCGCCGGCGACATCTCTATACCGATCGATCTAATGCCACAGGATGTTCCAGTCGCACGAGATCAGCAAATGGAGGTTGCGTTCACCATGGAAGAACTTCATGCGGCATTGAACACATGCAGACGCTCATCGTCCCCAAGTCCGGATGGAGTGACCTATACTGCCCTACGACACCTAGGCCTGAAGGCACAGCGCTGTCTCCGGGACATTTTCAATAAGTCTTGGCATGATGGAATGGTGCCTGATGAGTGGAAATGTAGTCGCCTGGTGCCTTTGCTGAAGCCCAGAAAGTCTCCATTCGATTTGGCATCATACCGGCCTATAGCACTAGCAAGCTGCGTTGGCAAGGTCATGGAGAGGATGCTGCTTACACGCATGGAATGGTACCTGGAACATTATAACATCTATCCTGATGCTATGGCTGGTTTTCGACGAGGTCGGTCCTCAGTTGATAGCGTTATTGACTTAGTGACCTCTGTTCAGCATCAGAAAGCTCAGAAGCGGCTGTCGGTAGCTCTGTTCTTAGACGTGAAGGGTGCCTATGACAACGTGACCCATGAGGCTGTTCTCAATGCTCTTGAAGCAGCTGAACTTGGAGGTCGTGTCTTTCGATGGGTAAGAAGCTACCTCACAAAGAGATCTATGTTCGTTTTGACTGAAGATGGGTCTACGAATAAGTATTTCACAAGTCGTGGGGTGCCACAAGGCGGTGTTTTGAGTCCTACACTTTTCAACCTGGTTCTCGTGGGGCTCACTGAAATGCTGCCACAGACGGCTTATGTATCTCTCTACGCTGACGATATCTGCATTTGGGCGTCCGGCGTGACACGACCTCAAGTGCGCGCAAGAATACAGAAAGCGGCAACAATGACATCGACATACCTTCGCCAGCAAGGTTTGACTATCGCCACAGAAAAATGCGCAGCGGTGGCGTTTACACGCAAACCGATGTCTTTCTACTCATTGTGCATCGATGGCAGATCAATCCCATATAAGAGCACTCATAGATTCTTAGGCCTCATCGTAGATCGTGACCTAACCTGGAGCCCGCATGTCACATACCTGAAGAAAAAGCTCATTGGCATTGAGAATGTATTCAAGTTCGTCGCCGGAAAATCATGGGGCCCATCCGTGCACTCCATGTTGCAGCTTTATACAGCCCTCTTTCTCGGAACTCTCCGGTACAGCCTTCCGGTCCTGTCCAACACGTGCAAGACTAACATCCGTGCACTGCAAAGCTTACAAGCCCAAGCACTTCGGACATGCCTTGGTCTTCCAAGATGCTCATCGACAGTGTCAACTATTGCTATTGCACAAGAACAACCGGTCATAACGCACATCATTGTCGAGACGCTGAGAGCGCACATTCGGCATTTATCACGACTACCGTCACATCATTTAGCGTGTTTGACAGCTCGGAGGCCCCATTCTTCGTACTGCGGTATCGTGACAAAACATCAGGACATACTACCGCCTGGCTTCAAACTTGCCATGCATCCAGCAACTGCGCCATGGAGTCTTCGTCAACCTGACGTGCGCTTATCAGTTCCTGGAATCTTTAAGAAGACACGCATGTCAACGCTAGCCCTGAAGCAACTGACTTTGCATCTGTTGGACGAAAGGTACTTCGACCGCATACATGTTTACACCGATGGCTCCACTAATTCCAACAGCTCCACAGGAGCAGTGGTTGTTCCATCTGAAAATGTGTTGCTTCAGTACAAGTTTTCTCACACCACGACATCGACAGCAGCAGAGCTCGCAGCACTTCAAGGTGCAGTAAAGTACATTCTTCACCAGGAACCTAACCAATGGGCCATCTTTTGCGACTCCAGGTCAGCCTTACAGTCACTACGGTTTGTTCTGCAGCACGGGCTACATGAACAATCAGTATATCAGATAAGGCACGACTACCACGAAGCGCTCGCGGAAGGTCACGATATTGTATTTCAGTGGTTGCCGAGTCATTGCGGAATCGTTGGCAATGACCGCGCAGATGAAGCTGCTCGATCGGCTCATGACCAAGACCAGCGCACGCCCATACCACTCTTGAGAACGGACGCTGCAAGGCTACTACAATCACTTGCTCGCCGTATATCTCTCCTACAATGGAATACGCAGGGTTTCTCCAACACGCACCTGTATTCGATCGACCCAAACTTGCAACTTCGTTTGCCATCCGGGTTCCCACAATGCGCTGAAACTTTACTGTGTCGTATGAGGTTGGGCGTGGCATTTACGAATTCGTACTCTCGTCTCCTTGGAATGGCGAGCACTTCGGCATGCAACATCTGCGCCTGCGAGAAAACGCTTGAGCACATTCTATGTCATTGCCCGGCATACCAGACAGAACGACGTATTATGGAAGCCAAGCTCTGTCAGCTGGATTCACGGCCGCTTACAGAAGAGAAGATCCTGGGACCTTGGCCAACGGCTTCCCATACGCGCAAAGCCACGAAAGCCCTCTTGTACTTTTTAAGGAACACCAAACTTCACGACCGCTTGTGAAAGAACTGTGCGAGGCCGTGCTGTGTAGTTTCGAGCTGACTATTTATGCGTCTCTTTCTTACTCCTCTTCTTTTCTGTCTCTTTTCGTTCTATTATTCCCCTTTTCCCCCACCCCAAGTGTAGGGTAGCCAACCGAGCCAAGCTTGGTTAACCTCCCTGCCTTTCCTCTCTATTTATCTCTCTCTCTCTGGGGGTTACACTTACAAAAGGTATGCTTTGGAATAAACATATCAGCATTGTTCTTAGTCAGTTATAATGTAAATATGGCAAATAACTGCAGTGCATTATTGCTATTTGAAGTGACGCTTGTTAGTTTATAAATAATTTTTTTTATTGATATCACTCTTACGAATTTTCGATGTTTTGCACCACAACTTTTACAATTTACATAAACTGATATTCCTCCGAAAGTATATCAGAATGGGTAAGACTACAGAATGAATGATTTTTAACTTACCTTGTGATGTAAACACTGATGGGCTGTTCGGCATAACACGGAGTTACCCGTGAAATGAAAGAAAATGGGCACCTTATACATTATCCATCTCTTGTATAGCAACACAATGCATCATTAATTCATGCTTCAGAGCAGTAAGGAAAGTGGCAACCCTTGAAGTTATAATTAAAAGGAAAGATCTAACATATTCCTGACTCAACAATGTGCTGAATGGATTTAGATTTCTCCTATACATACCAATAAAATTGAGAAAGAGCTCGTTTTCTACATTAATTTACATCAATATTGTGTTGTGTTCTCATTGTATTTAGCCTGTCTGTTAACGTATGCTATGTTTACTTTGTGATGCATGTTGTGGTTTTTTGACAGATTTGCTTCATGGTTAAGCAAACTATAATGCATTGCTGTAGTTGCTACACTAATTTGCTGCTGCAGACTTCTGTGGTGTCCTGTCGTGCTGCTTTTGTGAGCAGCAGCTTTTACCCACAGCTTCCATCAGTGTGATTGAAAATAAAAAAATTATCAATACTGCTATTACTTTCCCATAAACAACTTTATTTATGACGTCAGTTTATTTTTAATGTTTTGTTATAATGATAATATACAACTATATAACATATAGCTTATATAACTGTTGGGTTAAATTGGGTTTATAACATATAGCTTATATAACTGTTGGGTTGAATTGGGTTTTTAATGAAAAAAATCAATCTTTTTTCCGCTATATGTTATAATTGGTGATAAAGGCTACAAGTTAAATTACCGTACATACTAAATGTTTTCATGACTCGTACAACCCTAAACCCCAAGGAAAAGCTTGCAAATATGCAACCTTTTTCTTGAGATGTGGCTTCAAGACAATGTTGATCCTGTCTGAAATGGTTGCTTGACGACAATGCTGGCCACACTGCTGTGAAATTTATTTCGGAGCGAGAAAATGTGTGTATTGGATCCAAATAACTAAGAAATTTCATTTGCTGAAATTTAAGGTAAAGCAAATATTGTAATCATTGATTGATTGATTTGTGGGGTTTAACGTCCCAAAACCACCATTTGATTATGAGAGACGCCGTAGTGGAGGGCTCCGGAAATTTTGACCACCTGGGGTTCTTTAACGTGCGCCCAAATCTGAGCACACGGGCCTACAACATTTCCGCCTCCATCGGAAATGCAGCCGCCGCAGCCGGGAATTGAACCCACGACCTGCGGGTCAGCAGCCGAGTACCTTAGCCACTAGACCACCGCGGCGGGGCTGTAATCATTACATTTAATGAAATATTCAAAAACACCAAACTATCGCTATATCGTAACGTTTCTTCTTAACTTCGAACGTGGTGCTGCTAAATGCCTACTGGCATTTTAAATGTATTTATTAGAACTGCTGAGAATTGCCTTTTTATTATGCATTAATTTTTTCATTACATATCCCTTCAGCATTTTTTTTAATGGACATTGAAAGTTGTGCATACCCTCAGCATGCAATATATTTATCAACAAAGCCTGTAATAGTACCAAGTTGCGAAATCAACCCAACCTGAACTACTGTGCACTAGGCATATTCTTTTTTTTTTTTTCCAGATATTTTGTGGGCAGCTATGAGTCAACATTTTCTTTTCGAATTCAAGAAGAAAGAGAGATAATGAATTTTGACCCTGACACGACATTCAATAGGCTGTGTGGAAATGGACAAAAAACATGCACTCAACCAACTAGATGGAGAATTGCATATGCTGACTGATCATCACTCAAGTAACTTAGTGCTGTCTGCAGAGGCATTTGGCCTAGAGCTGCATGCTTCACTCAGATAGCAGCATATAGTTGCACCTAGTGCCTAACTTCGTTTCAATCGCAATATTTTTTTAGTCAGATGTGCCTGCATTAGTGTAATGATCTTAACTTAAATGTGGTGTCCTTCAATAGGTCAAACCACAGTCATCTAATCAGTGAGAAATATATTCTCTAAGTGTAAGCGCAGGGCTATGGAAAGAAAGAGAGCTTGGCAATGCGCAAATCACTGGCCAAGTGCTCCAATGTCCAAGTGAACAGAAGAAACTAAATATAAGCTGTAATTCTTTGTGTACTTAATACATTGAAGGGACCATGCAACCCTCAGAACATAATCAAAAAACGTTGCCAACTTGTAGTTGATGTTTGTGAGCCAAAATATTATTGCTTTACATGCAGGCAGGAACTTAAAATTTTGTGTCTGAAAGACCCAATGACTGCTTGTTCCATTCGTTGCAGTGTCTTTGCCAGCTTCGTAGCAGGCCCGACTACGCAGCTAGCGAGCACGACAAACAATGGCCAATTTCATGATAGGCATACCAGTTGACGATTAGAGAAGCCACACGCTGAATTTCGTATTACAACAGATGCTTGAGGAAAAAATCCACCATTATGGTACCGTGCTAACGTTGCCAGCTCATGAGACACCTGCTGGACTTCACAGTAGTAGTATTTAGTTTTGGTTAGCCTAACCTAAGCCAGCTATCTATTTGCACTGTGTTTTTCTGCATGCAGCGAGGTATATGTACTGTTGTTCATGCAGCTGGTAAATGTGGCTGGTTGAAATTTTCAATGGTTTTGCATGGTTTTCAGCAGTCCCGCACTACCAATAATATATGACTTTTTGCGTTTTTCTGAGAAATTTGCTGTTACTCGACAAAGTCTAAGCTAGAAGTGAAAAGCTTCGGCCACAATAGTGCGATGTCTTGACAAGGTGCAGAGAGCACTGAAGTAGTGGTGAATGTGAGTGAACACGGCGAGTTCGTTTGAACTCATTGTAACAGCATCGCAACAGGACATCAACGCATTGAGAAGTCACAACTTTGCTTCCATTTAAAAGGGGCTGTGTCGAATTTCGAAAGCAGGCGATTGCATAGAAAATATACCATTAGTGCCAAAATATTCGTGAATAAAGCCTTTTCTATATGTGCTGTCACCTTTGTTCTATATGTGCTCTTTTTTTTTCTACAAGTGACGCCTAACTACCAAAATGACTACGCCCTTTACCCAAATTTACGGTCATTGGCTGCATAGTTAGTGCGGCCACCGCAAGAGCCCACCACATGTCTGCACACTTGTGATCACACAAAATAAGCCGCACATTTCGACAGGAAAAATGAAAAAGTGATCATGTTCGTGACATGCATGTGACGTAAATTCGTTCTCCTGTTCCCTGCTTAGCCTCCAGTGGGCTTGCCGAGACAAGAGAAGAGAGAAAGCAATTACAGCGTGTGGCGAATCTTTCTAACTCTGTGCTCGTACTTAATGAATTCTAAAAAGAAAGAACAAAGCCAGATTTTATTAAAATGGTGTATTTGCTCAAATAGGTAACACAAGTTTCTTCTCCCAGAGATTTGCTACCTAAAACCAGACCTTACATTCCAATCAAATAGATAAATACAACTTTTCGCTATGTTTTCTTGCTTCACACAAAGAAAGGATCAATCCTCATGATACAATTGAGGTTGTTTTACAATCGAGTAAGCATGGTATGGGTGCAAAAAATTTTAAATCTGCTCCCAGCACTTTGTGATACACAGTTCTATATATCTTTGTTGAAAATCCGTGTTGATTCGCCTTCGCCACTGACGGCTACAACAGTCTAGTCTTGAAACAGTGTAGAGCTACTGCCATACTCTAGTTTCTTTTCCTGCTCTGTATGTTTAACACTGATCCCGCTAAATACCTTTCTCCGTCGTCTTCTCGGCTGACTGGCTTCTATGGGGGTGCGTGTCCCACCTCTCATTCAACTGCTTGCCATTGGTGGCACTTTACAACTTGCTCGTCTGCTACTCCGCAGCCCTTTTGACATCATTGAAGCAGGAACGCCTGTATTTTGTGAAAAACTGCTGGCATATATATTACAGTTTTCACAAACTCAGATTGTGGTCCAAGTAATACATACACTGGAGTTAAACGGTGGTTGTAAACATCTGAAGCCATAGACTAGCATGGTGTAGGACAGCCCATATAATTTCATGTCTTTATAAGCGTCCATTCAAATACGAAAATTTCCCAAGGGGGGGAGGGAGGGGAGTGGTTATGTTGTAAGAAGGAAAAAAAAATGAGCCCCGTAACTGTCTGCTTCAGGGAGCGACACCTCAACAGTAGCTCACAAGGGATGGGGGTGAGGAGGGATTAAAAGGATAGGAATAAAGGTGTAGAGAGAAAGAAAGAGATGAAGTAAGCATGACAGCGTGAGAGCGACGACATATCGAGGGGATAGGAGAGATAGGAAAGATGGGAACACGTTCACAGGAGTCCGAGGACGGGGCACGACTTGCGAGAGCTCTTGTCGGCATCAGGAGATGGCGTAGGGCAAGTCCAGTCAGTCAGAGCTACACTGTCGTCGGAGGTCGGTGTCAGGAGATGATGTAGGGCGAGCCCAGTCGGCCAAAGCTACGCTGACGTCGGAGATCGCGAGCGCACAACCGGTCGGTACGGAATCCAGCGAGCGAGTCGAAAAATTCCCAAGTTACCTCTCATACCTTCAAGTTCGAGGTATTTCGCATTTATGCATAATAACCAGACGATATAAGTGCGTCGCACTAGCTGAAACATCCTCGTGATCACTGAAGCTGGTGTGAGCAAACAGGTGCTAATGCAGAAATGCTCGTATGTTTTGTCCCTAGTGGCAGAAGGAATGTACTAGCGCGTGCACGCTGGAGTGGGAACATCGGTGCTGGTCGGGAGTTCCAATAGGACATGGTCAGAGTCTCATTCTGATGACATACTTTGCACGTACTAACCTTTTCAAACACTCATTTTTTTTCCCGCAAACCATTCGCAAATAGAATGCGCCGTCTTCAAATGTGTTTTAGAATGTGGCTTTCACGACTTCGAAAAACACATGCATTTTTTCTTGTAAACTTCATTGTTGATATTGCCATAGTATATTATGACAACTCATCCGTTGTACTGCTTCACATTAGGGTGCATGAAGCTGTTACATGTTTTGGAATTTTTTCCTGTAATGTATATTTAATCATTTTTGTTAGTAGGTGCTTGTCTTTCAGTAGTAATGCTTGTTATAACCTGTTGTGTAATTTTTTCACTTCCCCACTCTCCTCCTAGTTCTTTGGACTGCAGCACCTATGTACTGAGCAAAAAAATGGCAGCATATCCACGGAGTGAATGATGGAGAGTGGGGAGAAGCATTAGTCCGTCCATGCGTCCGTCTGTGTGACCGTCCATGCGTCTGTTCGTGCGCCCGTCCCTGCGTCCGTTCATGCGTCCATCCATGCATCTTTCTGTGTGTCCGTTCGTCCATCTATTCAACACTCCAAGTCCCACCATCTCGCATCTTTTTATCATATATTCCCCATATAGAAGCACCGCCATTCAGCGGACATTCCAAGGACTAAACGAGAGGTGGCACACGCACACTTTCTTACGGCTTGCGCTTCGGGTCTACTTCCCACCTTCAACCACCTTGAGTTCATGGTATATACTAGTTCACTGTATTCATGGCACTGCGGCCCAACGCTCGCTAAACCTTTCTAGGAGGTTACGCCCAGGGAGTATAACGTAGCAACCTTTTCCTGTCAGATAGTGCTCAATGTACATGCCTGTGGCTGCTATTGTGAAATGAGAGACAGGAGGATGCAGCTTTTAATTTCTTACGGCTTGCGCTTCGTATCTGCTTCCCCCCTTTAACCACCTCGAAATCATTCATGGTATATACTAGTTCATTGTATTCATGGCCCTGCGGCTCAACGCTCGCTAAACCTTTCTAAAACTAAGGAGGTTACACCCACCGAGTATAATGTAGCAACCCTTTCTTGTCCGATAGTGCTCAATGTACATGCCAATGACTGCTAATGGAGATCGCAGCGTGCGCGTTGACTAAAAGCCGAATGCTCCTGTCTCTCATTCCCCATTAGCAGCCATTGGCATGTACGTTGAGCACTATTTTTTATTGTTCAACAACTCACAGAAGAAATCTCTCACCGGCACCACCTTGGAGGTCAAACGTTATACCTATTTCGGGTATGTGCCACTGGTGGTTACGTACTACGAGGGACGCACGAGCCACGGCATAAGGAGCTTCGCCCCTAAAATGAAATATAGGTCCAGCTGTTGTAGATGTTTAGATATGCTGAGAAACTAAATAGGTTACCTTAAAACTTCATATTCTGCTCATACAAGTTGCCCGAGTCTACATTGATACAAATCTTATAACCGAATCTGGCTTTAAATGCTGGAGCTTTAGATATCCATAATGTAATAAACTTTTACTTCGTTTATTGTCTCTACAAACTACTGTAATATATGCAGTATGAAATGTTGGTTGGCTATCACCTGCACGATGTCTTTACTCTTAATTGTATGTAGTAAATTTACCCATATTGGTGCAGCCAGAAACAAAATCCCGTTGCCTGTTTATTGCATAAGGAAGCAAGGTTGAAGCCGTGCCTAGCGCAAAAAGTGCACATGGCTGAGACAGACAAGTTCTTCCTTAGTGTATTTATTTACCAAATTCATTATATCAACAACCCCAGACACTTTCTCCAATAATGAGTCATCCACACAGTAATGAGGAAAAAAAAAACCCGCCACAAAAGTGCTCGCTCACTTAAGTCCCGCAATAGTTCAAAAATAGCCAACAAAAAACAATGGTAAATAAAAACTAAGCATCTTCCTGCGGGCGATGGCATCCCTCTGTCTCAGCTGCGCAAACAGCACTGAATGCCACTGGAAAAACAAATGAAGAGGGCAGGTGCTTGCCCGTTCTGCACCTGTAGCAGATGAACAAAAGCTGAACTTGCATTCCGATGCACGCACACACACAACACACTGGATGGAGGCACCCACGGTTGTCCGCAGCAAGTGAAAAAAAAAAAAAACGAGGGAAAAAAAAAAGACTTCGTCTTCATGTGATGACTATGTGCAGGTTTCGACGTGCATTGGGAACAGCATTTACAGCTTCTTTTTCCTTGTAAAGTAATTTGATTTGATAGTCCTATATGGATTTTCCAGACCTCTTTCCTTTTACCACAGTGGGCCTGTTTTTGATAAATCCTTTCTTCTTGCGTAAGCTCTGAAAAACAAGGGAAAAAATTAGCACGACAACAATAATCATGACTTATACACTGTGTTGCATGTAATTGTTTAGATCATTTTACAAAAACATTCTCTTTTCTTAGGCTAGGCTAACCTGATTACAACAGACCTTTATATTAGTGAAGAAGATTTTGGTCTGTTGCACAAAAGTATTGACTATCCAAACAGTGTCATAATGGGCATCTATTTGAACATTGAATGATTGTCACAGCCGAGTGAATCAGTAGCAGACGCAAACGGGGTCAAAAAACAGATTTAGTTTAAAGACTTTCAAAAGAAGCTTGAAAGACTTAAGGGGATGTGCCAACGCCTGCTCATGCACAACTGTACTTAGACCAGAGATTTTTGTAAGTGCATCCTTAGACCATGCACTGTTCCTGTACCCGAAAGCAGGCAAAGCGGTGTTCAAAGTTGGAAGCTGTTGAATGGCAGAAATAAAGTGCTGACCAGCTCGCTGGCTAAATTAGTCTGTCACTATCTGAACATCTATAGTAAGTAGATCCGTCGTAACGAAGTTCCACTGCATTCAACTCAAAAACATTTGTACGGTTTTCACTTGCGCCACAACACTGTTTAGTATACTACATTTTGGATATCAGGCTAATGAACGAAACGGAAATGAATTAACAGATATATATTTAGTCTGCATGTGGGCCCTTGCAGAGGTGGATTCGCTGCGGTAGATGGATGCTGAGGCATGAAAACACCTATTTGGAGTAAATCTGCACTGCTGCTGAAGCCACACTTCAAAGGTTAAATGGGAATTTTACACTCGCATCGATGTGCCACTTTTCAAGTTTATACTGTTGTTATACCGGCTTTTATGCTCAAGTGTAGTATATTTCAAAACGTAGCATATTTTGTAGGTTATTG